CCTAAAATGAAAAACTGTTTAGTACAAGTGTCAGAGTAGAACTGTTGTGTTTCTTGCCATTATTGTGTTCCATGTTTTTGACAATTTGCCAGGATTATGTTCTGCGCAGCTTAAACCCGCATTATAAAGGGGCAATTGTAATTTTACCACTGCTTTAAATCGTTATTGCAAGACTGCTACTAGAAAATTACAAAAATGCTACTAGAGCTATTATTCAAGTGGCATTCTTGGAAAATTGAAAAAACCGGTGGCAATTTTGCAAATGCCTCCATTATAAATGATGACGTTCTCCATTGATCTAGGACTCAATTCAACACGAGTTACACACACCAGCCAGGTAATTAAATACCCACACCATGAGTCATGGACGACTAATATAAAGTTATTTTTTTCTCCCTTTGAAAAAATGCGAGACTAATGACAGTGTCCTCAATACATATCGACCATGGGATGAAGTAGAACGGAAATGACAAGGCAATTTCGTGGGCCCACCACCAGGCAGATGGATCGAAAGCTGACGTGAACACGGCCCAAATGTCAAGCTAAAAAATTACTCGCAAAACGGAGGTCTCCTTTCACCAATCGGGCCCGACCACGAGACCCGTACCCCTCCGGCGATCATACGGTCGAGGGAGGAAGCTCCCTCCGACGTGTCAACATCTGGGCCGTCCGTTTGCTGGCCGCGGGCTTCTTCGTGTGGGCACACTAGGTTCCTCCTTTTCTTTTTCTTCGTCTCTGCAAACGACAGATCATTGCCTGCCATGACCAAAATCAAATCACATTTGCTTTTGGTGATCACACGATTCACGACGACGGTGAATTGGTGATTAGTACTAATGTTTAGGGAGACTTATCCAAAACGAATCACGTTGGTATGGGTCTAATCATGGTCTGCAAACCCCTTCTTGCATGGATGGGATTCAGTAATCATGGTCTAGAGGTTACTGATTAGCATCTCTCTCGAAAGACATGAGTACTCGATTTAAAACTTTTTAAAGCACCGTGTGCGAAGTACGGCATGATCATTACAAAAGATCTGGGGTTAAAAGAGGGGTGGGAACACAGAGTAATTAAAATTTAAATTTGGTGACTTGCCAAAAGTTGCCTCTGTTTTCAGGTACGGTACTTGCATGGATGACTCACTTTTGTGCTTGATATGGTCCAGGACTCCAGGTAAAAGAACAATAGTTTAAAAAAAGGGGAATAACAAGGTATAATACTAATCATCATGAGCCAAACTTTTTTTTATTTTTTTAGAGAAGGGTATTTTTTACTCGGCTTGTACATTCAACCGGACATATGCATCCATCTATCTATCTACCTATTATATACTAAAAGTCCATGAAACTTTCTACAAACGCTCTCAAACCGCCACGTGGCGCTCTAATAAAATAGAGAAAATCCTATAAATTCTAAGAAAAAAGCAAAACATATGTCCCTTGATTTTTACTTAAATTGGTGGGTCCAATATTATACACTGTTAGGTAAAATTGATCTTAAAACAAACTAAATACCATGGGTCCCACCTATCCTTCTCCCGCGCATTGGCAGGTGGAGTATATACGTACGTAGATGGTACGTACGTTCCTCTCCCCCGAGCTTTTTTTTCTTTTTTCTTCTTTCTTCTTTTTTTTCCATTTATATATATAATGGATATATTTTTAAACAATTATAATTTTACAAACAAATAATCTACCATCATATAACTTAAACCGGTTTACTTTGTAATATTATTTTCAAATAATGCACTATTTTAAAATAAATTTTACACAATTATATCGTGTACCTATCAAATAAATAATATCTATATTAACTAATTTATACGTGCACTTAAACTGATGGCCCCATTATATAAATCATCGGATCTACTTTTTATTACATTGGTCTATTATTCTCAAGTAATGCACTATTTTAAAATACGGGAATGCTAGGGGACGGGATACCGTCCCCCAACGGGATAGCTCCTCTCCACAAACGCGATTCGCGTCCCCCGCTGTTGCCGCGCCCGTCCCCCGTCGATGCCGCCGCCGCCGCGCCCATCCCCCACCACTGCTGTCGTTGTCCCTCACCGCCGCCGTCGCCGCCGCGGCGTCCGTCCCCCGTCGCCGCCGCCGTCGCCGCCGCCGCCGCGCCTATCCCCCGCTACCGCCGCCGTCGCCGCGCCCGTCCTCTGCCCTTGCCGTCGCCATCCTCGTCTACAAGGGACGGCTGCAGGGGGCGACTGCGCGTGTCGGGGTGCTCCTACCCTAACGGGATGCCCAGCTATATCTAGTAGGAATCACCTGATACCTGGTAAGTATCATCCGATACCTCGCAAGTATCACGTGATACATGGTAGAAATCGTCTAATACATGACAGGTATCGCATGATACCTCACGAGTATCACGCGATACGTGGTTGAAATCATCTGATACCTGACAGGTTTCACATGATACCTCGTGAGTATCACGCGATACGTGGTAGAAAATCGCATGATACTTGATAAGTATCACATGATACTTCGCAGGTATCACCTAAAACGTGTATAGAATCGTCTGATACCTAATAGGTATCACACCTGATACCTACTCGGGATCATCCTGTTTTGTAGAATCGTCTGATACCTGATAGGTATCACACCTAATACCTACTCGGGATCATCCCGTTCGAAAATGAGATTCCGTTATATAGCAGCCCCCTTTAAAATAAGATGCACACCATGTGTACCCATTAAAATAACAATTTAAAATATATATTAACTAATTTATACTTACACTAGAACTGACGGACATATTATTATAATCATCAGATCTATTATTTGCTAATGAATAAAGCGTCCGAAATTCTCTTTTTGCCCGCTGCACAATGCACGTCTGCACCTTTTCCTTTCACACGTGTGACAAAGCGTAGTGTCTGAGACATCTAAGGTGATCACAACCGATGTAGCGCTACCGCTTTGCCACATATTAAATCATATATGGAGATGATTAATTTTGTTAATAACATGAAAAGAAAATGAAAGGTGTGATGTAGCGAGAGAATAATTAAGTACCATGGGTTATGTTTTTCTCAACACTAATTAGCTCTATTTAAGTTGAAACCAAGAATTGATTACATAATAATTGTAATGTATTTGTGTTATGTCGTATTTGGATTTTGTACTATCTATTCGTACAGGTGAAAGGAATCATTATGTTATAAATGTGAGCGTAATATTGACGAATATCCATAGAACTCTTACTACGACAAGGGTGATAAATGGAGTTTAAGGCACTCTGTTTTTTTTCCCGATTCCATATTTTGGATTTTTGTTTGCATGCTTTCTAAGTTTCTAAATGGTGTCTTCTTTAAACAACATTATAACTTTTTAGCAATTCATTCGTTTATACCCTCAAATAGCTATCACATAAATTATATAATTCATCAATTTCATCTATCCTAAACCTTACTACATTTTTTTTCATGCAAGTCATGGTGATTAGTAAATTGGTGATCAACGGATCATCGAAGTCGTAAATTGAATATGTAAGAGTTACTCTGAACAATTGTAAATATGTGTCAAAATTAATTTCTATTAATTAGACATCTAATGGCTTGCTAGCCACAAAATTAATTTCTCTATACATGTATATAAACATGGACGAAGCTAAATACTACCATATGTCCCATACATATATATTGCGCAGTTAATATTCTAATTAGTCATTTAAAATTCCTTAAAATGCTCTCAAGCTACCACGTGGTGCTCTAATAAATTAGGGCAAATATTAGAAATTATAAGAAAAAAAATCAAAGTATCTATTACTTACTTTCCACTTAAATCGGTAGGTCCAATATTATAAACCGTTAGATTAAATTGATCTTAGAATAAACTAAATACTACAGGGTCCCACCTCAGCATAGGTGCGTACCTACGTGCGCGGGTTCGTACGCCTCCCATCCCTTTTTTCATTTTTCTCTTTCTTCCTTTTTTCCCATGCATATGCTTAACTCCCTTTATTACTATATCATGCGTATTCATGAGACGATTTAATCAAAGATTTTGAGTATCTTGCACTCGCATTTTTTATTTGCGGCCATACTACATGATATGTATATAGATGGAATGCATGATAATTAACTACCAATAGTTTCTTATTTACTCGAGAAAAAAAAACATGATTCAAAAGTTGTAAATACTTAATCCATCTCCTACTCAAAAGTTCGTGAATGGTTTTCTAAGATACCTTAAGAAAAATAGAACCCTTAAATTATTATAAAATAACATTATCCAAACTTTAGTTTGTCCTAAATCTATGAGACAAAATTTCTGAACAAACAATAATTTTATATTTCAATAATATAAGTGTCTGCGTATACGCGCGGGCCACCTTCCTAGTTTAAATAAAGAACTTAGCCCCTCAGATAAAGATTTAAACTCAGGACCTTAAGTTGCTACTCAGCTTACTACAACCACTAGAGTATATGCCTTTGGGTAAACTGCTACTGCAAAGATGCAGGAGGAGTAGATGGGTTGAGATAGAAGTGTGTATAATAAGCGAAAAGAGCAAACGGGATATATGATGAAACCACGTCGGCCAGTTTGATCGTCCATCAATTGGTGGCAAAAAATGTGCCTGCCTGCAAACGCTGCAACTACGCCTGCATGCTTGTCGGGGTAAACGCAAGGTGTTCTTCTTCACGCCGGCTGCAACTACACCTCTTGCATTCTTGTTACTACAAACTGTTCACAGACCAATACAGGTATAGGAGTAGTATACAAGAAGTAGAACTAGATACTCCTACTCCACTGATGTAAACAAAACCATACTCCACTCCATTGCCTGTCATTAGCACTAGTAGATTCTCATAACACTAGCAGTTCAGTAGTACCATTGCCTGTCAGCGAAAATATTGGAGTACTCGCAGTACTCCAATTGAGAGAATAGAGTACTGGAGTACTTTGTCGCGTCCTTGCGTCTGTACTAGTACTGTTTGTAGTACTCTGAACAAGAAAAACGGAAGCCTGCACAGCTGCAGCCTGCAGGCGAGAATCAAAGATCGAAACGGGAAACAAACGCCACTCTGCACTGCAGCCTCTGCTGCTGAAGCTGAACCCTCTCGGTCACTGCACCTCGGCCTCCTTTTCCACACTTTTCACCGTGTTCCTCCTCTCTCTTTCTCCCACCCAGCGCGCGATTTCCCCCTTTTTTTTTTTTTTTTTTTATAAGACCTTGCAGACGACGAGACGAGGACACAGCAAGAGGACAGGACACGGCGCGGGTACAATACAATACAAGTAGCCTCCACTTCTTGCTTGCGTCTTCTTGTCCCTCCCTTGTCATCCAGAGGAGATCGAGGAGGTGTTGTGTTGGTGTGTGTGGAGGATGGGGAGGACGCCGTGCTGCGACAGGGAGGCGGTGAAGAGGGGCCCGTGGTCGCCGGAGGAGGACGACGCGCTGCGCGACTACATCAACCGCCACGGCACCGCCGGCAACTGGATCTCCCTCCCCAACAAGGCCGGTCAGTCCATGTCTTCTCATCATCCTGCATGATATGGCCACTACTCTTCTTGATTTCTGACGATGAATTGAATTGAATTGTCTTCTTTTTTGTTTTGTAGGGTTGAGGAGGTGCGGCAAGAGCTGCAGGCTGCGGTGGCTCAACTACCTCCGCCCCGACATCCGCCATGGCGCCTTCACCGACGAGGAGGACGCCATCATCACCTCCCTCTACTCCAAGCTCGGCAGCAAGTAAGTTAATTAAACCTCTCTCTCTCCCTCTCTCTCTTCTTGCCATGGCGGTAACTGACTGATTGATTCCTTCCAGGTGGTCGACCATCGCGGCGCAGCTGGAGAGGAGGACGGACAACGACGTCAAGAACCACTGGAACACCAAGCTCAAGCGCCGCCTCGCCGCCGCCGCCGCCTGCACGCCCTTACTGCCGCTCCCGGCGCCGCCGCCCCTCGCCGCCACGCACACGTCGCCGTCGTCGTCGCTGCTGCTCCTCCCGCCGCTCGCCGTACCGACCGTCAAGACCGAGGCGTACACCTGCGACGACTTCCTGCAGCAGCTGCTGCCGACCGCCACCGCCGCCACGGCGCTCCGGGATCCCTTCGCCGACGGCGCCGCCACGGACGGCGGCTCGACGTCCGCCTCCGCCGCGTCGTCGGGGTCCAACTGGTCGGCGGACACCGGCGTCGTCGTCGTCGGTGGCGGCGGCGGCGGCGGGCTGTTCCCGGAATTCTGCATGAGCTCCGACGACCTCGCCGGCGCCGCCACGGCGGAGGACGACCACTTCATCGGCGGCGGCTACTACTACCCTCTCGATCCGAGCTTGTCATCATCACTAGTGTAGTGAACTCGTGCGTTTCAAAGATCAAACACTAGTGTTAGGATCAGTACATGCCACATCTCCGCGTGTTCCTGCGAGATTGGTCGATCGATCAAACATCGCGTAATTACAAGAAGCGTGTAGTGTACTTGAACATGAGAAAATTCATCAGGTGCAAAGTTAGATCACTTGCTATGAACAAAAAGCTACTACTAGTATTTTGCTGTGCTTCAAATGTGGTATCTACATGTTCGTTTAGACTCAAAAAACAAATCTGCTTCACATGGATTCGTGTTAATTCTCGTCTTGTAGTTTTTCATGTTTGCGTGTGAAATTGCACAGAGAGTTTGCATGGGCCGGGAAGAACAGAAGATAGCTGATGGTGATCCTGAGGATGATGAGCCATGATCCGCCTCGAGATTCGCTTTCGTCCATGATGTGCCCTGCTGCTCTGCAAGTGGCCAATATCAATTCCCCTAAAAAAAATGTGGGCAATATGAAATCACGGTCACAAACAGAGCCTGTAATTAACAAAAAAAACTTGTAATGCTAAGCTTACAAAAATAAGATTTTATAAATTGTAATGCTGGGCAGGGCAGACAGCCGGGGCCCACATGAGGAACAAAATCGGACAGTACTTGTACTGTAGTTTCATGGTAGCAGCGGAGTACACATAGGGGTACATGGTTAGGGACGCTTGTGATGATGGAGAGGCGACATTTAATTCCAAGCTCACATGCTTAGCTTAGCCTGATTGATCACACTTTTGTTTGTATCAGGCGGTGAATTTTTTTCTTTTGTTATCCTTTGATTCTGCTTACCTAGTCTGTGTTTAGTTCAGTGCAAAGTTTAGATTTTGATTGAAATTGGAAATGATGTGACTGAAAAGTTATGTGTACGACAGGTTGATGTGATAGAAAATGACTGAAGTTTGGATCTAATCACAGCACTTAAGAACGGAGGATATATAGCAGCAAAAGGTGACTGAACACAGTATTTGGTTCTGAAGGTTTGTCTGCATTGCAGAATCGTGTGGAGGAAGAGGGATTAATCAGATGGAAAATGACCGGACTGGTTGAGTTATTCACTGATCAGTCGTGACTAATTTCTTTCGTTACCATGCAATACGCAGATTTGCAGTAGTTAATTGGAATTGCAATGCAACCATGCCCGATTCTGACGTGTCAGAGAATCGTTTCCGACCACAATGTTGGCCTCAGCTCTCTGCTGCAACCCAGTCCCTGTCGGATCAATCTGGACCGTCCACCATGCGATGGTCGGCTCAGATCCACCACCTGGCTGCTTGGGACCGTACGTGGGACCCACCTTGGTGGCAAATAAAGGCAGGGTTTCTTTCGTGAAACGCGGCGACTACTCTACCCCTACGTACGTGTACGTTCGTACGTACGTGCCGTTCGTCGCCTTGTCTGGGCCTTTCACCTTCACCGCCTTTTATCTTCGTTACATTACATGGACTTGATACGAGATGTATGTATGATTATTGAGAGGTTTTATATATGTTCAAAAAAATATCTGAAAATATAAGAATTTTACGCTAAAAATTATAGTATCTGAAGAGATATCTAAGGTATTAGAGTCAGCAAAATTAGCATTAGAAAATCTGGTATTATACCTTCCTTAAGATGATAAATTTATCTGTCATTCATAAAACATAAGTATTTGTAGGCGATATGATTATGGGGGAAGATATATAGGCGGATAGATTTCTCAGATCACATAAATTAAGTTAATCGTTAGACTTATTAGAGTCAGTCAGTCAGCACCGTTTCCACCGTGTTTGCAAGATCACAGAGAATCGGATGAAAAACGATCTACAGGAGCGTGGAAAGTTCATAAATATAAATATCGACCTGTCCACATGGTCTTGCCCCAGTCATATTTGATTTTTCGGTATACGTACAGCTTTTTTTGAAAACTGTATACGTACAGCTTCGATCTTTTATTCTCCTCGAATGCGCGTAGGCCAGCGTGTAGCTACTTCTATATGTTACGTACTAACCTGTTATAAGACGTTTTAACTTTGATTAAAATCAATCTGTTTTAAGTTTGACTAATTTTATAGACAAATATAGTAATATTTATAATACTAAATTATTTTTATCAAATCAATAATTGAATATATTTTCATAATAAATTTGTTTTGGGTTAAAAATGTTACTATTTTTTTTCTACAAACTTGGTCAAACTTAAAAAAGTTTAACTTTAACCAAAGTCAAAACGTCTTATAATCTGAAACGGAAGTAGTATGCATTTTATCATTCTAGATTTGTATTACTCATGAAGTAGGAGTAATTGACTACTGCCATCTGAAAAAAAAAACTTGACAAGCTAAACACACAAGAAAATACTGACAATGCTGCACCAACAAATTCTCTTGACAAAATATCTACCATGACTGAATGCTGTCTGTTTCTTATTGTGTCCAACTTGTTAATCCAATCCAACACATCAACACCCTAAACATCAAAACAGCAAAAAAGTGGCTAGCTAGACAGGTCATGTGGAGTATAAACCCAAACTAAAGCCACTTTTTTGCTCTATTGACAGACACGGATAAGGAAAAGACGCCCTGCTTTACTTCAGTGTTTAATTAAGCAAGAGCCAAGAGAGTAGGCCTTAGAATTGTAGACAGCGATGTTTTATCACTTTGCCCCCTGTCTCGTTGCTGAATTTCTGAATATTCCAGCACGAGAAAACGAAATGTCACTTCTCAAATGACTAGGTCTCACTCTTCGACTTATGTAAATATATGTAATTACGCGTCAAGCTAAGCTCTAGTGTGATAGATTACTTATTAATTTGTTCCTCGCATATGGAGATTAAGTATTTTTTTTTACGGGGAGGAGATTAAGTAAATTTGATAGGGGTCAAATCATATCAACCGTGCAACTTCAATATGTACTACTTGAAATGGACTGTCTACCTAAAGGTTCAAAAATTCAGAGTTCCAGCGTTATGCTAAAGTTGCAAATCTGCAATGTAGGGTGTACTAAACGTCTACAAATACCTTTGTTTTGACGTGTTCGATCATCTCGCTCACAGCTAATAATGAAAATGGGGGGTGGGGATGAACTGCAAAGGAATATGTCATTTTCAGCCAATTGCTACCTCCTGTATGCACTGAAACTTAATTTATCTTTGAAGAGAATCTACTCTAGTTTATCGTCACAAGTATGTACAAGTCTACAAGATGATAATAAATTGAAAGTTAATTCATCAAGTCGCATATGTAAACGCTCCAAAATCTCCAAGGATCTGTGCTTGTCCGATCCATAGCAATCAGAAGAAGCGAAGATGAAACAAGTCGGCTCTGAACTTTGGCCGTCTGACTTAATTAGCCAAGCTCCAAGATGAGATAAGCCATCAGCCATTTGTTAATTAGATCGCAATCCACTTGGTTATGACATTTTGTGGCGAGACAATAAAGTGGTGTGCAATGCATGTCTGCATGTTTTGTCGCCTGCAAATTAAATAACCATGCAATATTCTTTTTATTTTGGCCTGCATATTGATTACAGATACAGTAGATAATACTGTACAATATACAATTAGGGCACCGAGTAATTTATACGTACAAGTTGGGGGTTTTGTTTATGTGCGATCATTGCGTGTGTGCTGATTTTCGGGGAGGATGCATCATGAGTGTACACATTTTGTTATTCAGACGGCTCACATTTTATTGTGTTTTGTTTTTAAGTAAGGGTGGCTTGAGCCAATTATTGTATCGTCAAAGTAGGTAAAATATCGAATGAGTGATGTTGATAAGTGAATACAATTGGAATGCTACGTACGTAAGGGATTGACTGTGCTAAAAGAATCTTAATTGTATAGTTGTATCCTGATGTCAACCCTCTATTGCTGCAGGAGGGTTTGTCCGAGACAAATGGTTTCTTCAAGAAGTTAGATGGGTTAACACCCAATATATACCCCAAGAATAAAATCGTATTTCAAACAAAAAATCTCAGCCCACGAACTTTTCAAACAAAAGTCCTTGAATCCTATATATCTATAAATTTCATCCCCACTAAATATAGTTAATGCTCTTCTCTCATGAAGCCATATCATCTTAATTGTTTTTAGCTCTTCTCTCATGCATCATAGAGTAATGAAAAAAAGAGGGTTATTTGAAATGTTTTTCTCTCCTCAGAAATTCGACATGTTCAGCACGCATGAGCACGAAGCTCTCCAAAAACGAGAGCCCATAAAGGCCCACCTTTTGTCTCAGCCCACTAGATACGTCATCTTGGTGGCCCATGCCATGAGCGCAATCTCTCGGCCCAGTATCATCCTGGGGGCCCATACCGTGACCACAAACGGCTCGTCGGCTCGCACGTGAGCCGCACGCGCTGCCAGCCATGAAGCCGAAAGAAATTCGACCGTTGAGCGATCCACCCACGTCTTAAAAGCGGCCTCCTCCCCCAAATCCCCCAAATCCCCCATTCGAATCTCTCCGCCTCGTCGCCGTTGCGGCCGCTCCTCCCCTCCCCTCTCTCTCTTGTTCCCCCATGGCGATCGCCACCGAGTCGCGCTGCGAGGAGGAGAAGGTATGCGTCCGCTCCCCGCGTCCCCGTCCCCTCTCCGCCTTCCCCTTTCTCGGATCTTCGTGCGGTGGAATCCGGCGGGTGTTGGATTCTTGCGATTTTGGGGAGGGATTTGGCGTGTTGGATGGGGTTAGGGTGGTCGTGTGTTCTTGCGGTTTCGCACGAATCGGCGGGGATTTGGTCTAGTATTCAGCTTTCCCCCATTTTTTTTCTGGGTCCTGTAGGTTGTTGACGCGACAGGGGTCACGAATACGCGCGTTTCTGCTTGCTTTTTCTTCCTCGTAGTCATGTGGCTAGGGTTCGTGTGTTCGATCCGTCATGTCGAGGGGTTTATGGTGCGCTGAAACGGTAGGATTTGGTGATTTGATGGTTTCCCTCTGGATCTGGTGGACAGGACGGCCCTAAAATTTCAGTCCATTTGGGCGATTTTGTCAGGGATTCGCGGCTGTTTCGGCTTCCTATGTGAAGCTTTGCTTGGCTAAAAATTAAATTGACCTTGAGGATATTATTATGAGGTTGAAATGTTTAGGCTGCTTCTGATTCACCTGCTTTGTATGGAATGAGATGATGACATGCTCTTCTGGTCGTTTGTTCTAGGCTTCGCCGCATTCGCAGGAGGTGAAGCGGTGGGTGTTGTCTGATTTTGACATCGGGAAGCCCCTCGGGAGGGGCAAGTTCGGCCATGTTTACTTAGCAAGAGAAAAGAGAGTAAGTGATTCTTCTCACATGTTGTCATTTCAGCCACAGCTGATTGTTATATTCATTGTTACACATTTTCCATTCCTCTTGGTACTATTAGTTACTACTAATTGATTCAGGAGCATTACTTGAGTGAAAGGTTTATGTATTGCAGTTGCTTGAGCTCAGTACACTAACTTAGTTACTACTAGTTACAATTGCTTGACCTCACGACATATAATCACTATCCGATCTTAGATCTACATGAGCCTTTTGGGTATTGTGCATGTTATTGTTGAATAATATGGTGCTGTTGTGCTGGAGCCTTTTGGGTATACTAGGAAGCAAGAAGGCCTTTTAATTCGTCTATTTCTCCATCTCAGCTAAGAAGCTTAATGTCTGCTACAATGAATTTGCTAAAAGAACAAGACAAACTATCTAATTTTGATTTTAATTTCTAGATATCCAATTTTCTTGAAGAAAAAACATGATACCGTGTCATGCATTGCATGGTGTAAGTTTTGTATAGATCTTTTGTATACTCTCGAGCCTTAAGTTATGTCATTAAGTAGTGCGCTATCATATACTCCCTCCGTTTTTTAATAGATGACGCCGTTGACTTTTTCTCACATTTGTCTTATTAAAAAAAATTATGCAAATATATAAGATATAAATCACACTTAAAGTATTATGAGTGATAAAACAACTCATAACAAAATAAATTATAATTGCGTAAATTTTTTGAATAAGACGAATGGTCAAACATGTGAGAAAAAGTCAACAGCGTCATCTATTAAAAAACGGAGGTAGTATATTTTTTTTTAAAAAAGTAGTGCACTTTCATATGGTTCTAACTGGAATTCTGGGTCATGCTTAATATGTTGATCTTTAAAGCTTTTTTTAAATATCTCCTGCAATTGTAAATGTTTGTAACCTAAAACTGTACTGTATGCTTCAGAATGCTTGTTCCTGTTTGTTTTGATTCTAATTATTCCACTTTCAGTGAACTTAATCTATTTTCTTTCTGTGAAACAGAGTAACCATATTGTGGCTTTGAAAGTACTTTTCAAGAGCCAACTAAAGCAGTCCCAGGTGGAGCATCAGCTACGTCGGGAAGTTGAGATTCAGAGTCATCTTCGTCATCCCAACATTCTACGGCTGTATGGGTATTTCTATGATCAGGTCCAGAAAAAAAAAAACCACAGTTCTGATATGATGTAATTGTTTATCTCCTCTAGTTTTATCATCATATCTTCTGCTACATGGATTCTGCAGACCCGTGTGTACTTGATCTTGGAGTATGCCTTAAAAGGTGAACTTTATAAGGAGTTGCAGAGGTGCAAGCATTTCTCTGAAAGACGTTCAGCGACTGTAAGTAGATGATCTGCACACATGCTTGATAAACTTTTCTTCTGTTACCTTTGTCGAAAAGTAATAATTGAGATTTGCCTGTTCTTTTAGTACATTGCATCACTGGCGCATGCGCTCATCTACCTTCACGGAAAGCATGTGATCCATAGAGACATTAAACCTGAAAATCTTTTAATTGGGTCCCAGGTAATTGCATTATTTTGTTTCTTTGTCTGACTGTCTCAATTTTGAAACTACAGCTCTCTGATGTTTACTTGTTGAAACATGGTCTTTGGTAATTACATGGCTGCATTCTTTCATGAACAGGGCGAACTGAAAATTGCAGACTTTGGTTGGTCTGTGCACACCTTCAACAGAAGAAGGACAATGTGTGGAACATTAGATTACCTGCCCCCTGAAATGGGTACTTTCCTTTCCATTTACTTTCCTTGAAAATATCAGTAAATGTATGAATTTCCTTGACTCTAAAATTTTTATAATTTGTCCAGTGGAGAAGACTGAACATGACTACCATGTTGACATTTGGAGCTTGGGGATCCTGTGCTATGAGTTCCTTTATGGAGTCCCACCTTTCGAAGCAAAAGAACACTCCGAAACATATCGCAGGTAATGATGAGTTTCAGAGTGAGAATGCAGTGACTTTTTACTAACTAGCCTGAGACATATCTCAAATGCCCTTGTGAATCTCATTGTCTCTTGCCCATTAGAGGTTGTATTCTGCACTATCGTTTCTGATATCTGAGCTATACTCTGCTAATTGTTTATCTTTTTCTGCTACTTTAATAAACACTCGTGATTATGTTCAATCTATCCTCCATGCTCGACAGAGTACAATTAATTCCATTTGTTCTCACCTGTAATTACCAATAAGTTCCATGAAACTTCTTGCAAGCACTGTTCTCTGAAATGTCTTGTGGACATGCAGGATTGTGAAAGTTGACTTGAAGTTCCCACTGAAACCATTCGTGTCCCCGGCTGCGAAAGACCTAATTTCACAGGTAAGAAGCATGCTCCTGTCCTGATGATTTACATAACTGTAAAACTGTGACAAGTAAATCGTCACTTGGACACAAGTAGAACATCCACCAGAGTGTGAACCTCAAGAAAGCATTTTGATCTGCAGATGCTCGTGAAGAATTCGGCGCATCGTCTGCCCCTCCACAAGCTCCTCGAGCACCCTTGGATAGTTCAAAACGCTGATCCCTCCGGCGTGTACAGAGGCTAGAACAATCTCTTCCACTCTCCTCAATTCGAGGAGAGACCTGATTCTTTTTCATCACTGTTGTTATGGCAAAACAAGAAAAAAGCAGTAGCCGTACTACTCTACCTGTTGTTTCCGATCCCAGCTGCGCCTGTGTAGTTACGTGACAACGTGTATGCTCAAGCTTCAGATTTCCTCGATGAAGATTTGAAGCTGTGTGTGTGGGTTTAACGCGTATGTGTTTTAGCGTGTGTTCACAGCATGGGGTTGTGATATGTTTTCTGTGCAACGCCCTGTACTTAATGTACTAATCGTATTTCTTATTGGACATCACTCGATTAGTCTACAAGATATCTGATCTTTAGTTTTTGGATTTAAGTCTGGAGAAGATTCCTACTGCTTGGAACACATCCCTGTAGGAATCTTGTCCAGGGTTTACAATTCCATCCTGCTGGACTTTCCAGAATAGGTAGAAAGCACAATTCACTCTCTCTTTTTTGCCAAGTTAAAAAAATCAACCGAATTTTATTTTATTTTAACAAAATTTAACTGGATTTCATCGGTTTTCTATTGGGATTGTGAACCTGATCTTGTCAATGTAGAGGAACCCTGTATGCTTTCCCTGTAAAACACTTGACTGAACTGCCGTACTACTTCAAATAACTGTCATCTACACAAGACGCATGGGTAGGTGCGTAAATCCCATTGTATACCTTTCAGCTTACAAGTCGCTGCAAAAATTTTAATTTTGAAACTGATTTTATGGTTTTCCATTGTAATTTATTTTTGCATTGCCATTTGAACATCGAACAACACAGATACAAATTATTTTTTTGTTACTTGTATGCCGTTATCGGTACAAATGTTTTGCGAAATAAGGTTTGCTCTATGTACATTTTCGATGAGAATTGGCATCCTAAGTTCAAGCCCGAGATTCACGATCCAAATCCACTATACTACAAAATTAACCCTTATTACTAGTAGGATGATGAATTGATGACATGAAACCCTTACTATTTTCCCAACAAAACCAAACCTACCATTCTGCTTCGAGGATGAAACCAGCCTTGCTATATTACACGGTAATTCTATTACAGTAGCTTCCCCACAATGTCATTTCAGAAAAAAAGGACAAAAAGAAAGCTACAATTACATGCTTATATATATATATATATATATATATATATATATATATATATATATTCTCGTTGGTTCTCACACTGGCGCTGCTGTCCCGTTGCACTTGGAGGAGTCCTTCACCGGCGAGCTCTCGCCTTCGAGGAGCTGCGTGTTGTGCAGGTGGTGCTCGTCGTCGTCGTGCTTGAGGTGCTCGACGTCCTCGTGGCTCAGGAAGCATGGCTGGTTCGTCGAGCACAGCACCCTCGCCCACATCCTGTCCGTGATCACCACCTTGTTCTGCTTCTCCGTGATTCTCTGTAGAAATCGCCGGAGTTTCAGTGTCCAGATTATCAGGATATGGTTGATGTCTGGTGTGAAGAACTGAACTGAACTGAACACTAAAGATTGATCATTGAAAAAGAGTGTTCTGGACTTACGTAGAACGGGATATACGCGTGCCTGCCGTTGACCGGCGCGACGGTGAAGCCGGTGTACCCCGCCATGGCGCCGTGGAGGGCGCTGTGAGCTAGCAGGGTGCAGTAGACGTTGTCGGATGCGTTTGACCTGACGGCACGGATCATGTATGTCGGGTCGATGTACTTGAGAGTGATGGGGAAGTTGCGCTTCTTCTTGAAATGATCCTGCATGATGAAGAAAGGGAAGTAATTCAGCATTCTGAATGAGATCAGGGCACATCATGGTTCTTTGGTTCTTCCAGGCTTTACGATATTGACAAATATGAAGACAAAGTACTAGTTCGATGATGGCTTAGTTTTACATTGGTGGCAATAAAAGAAACCTGATGTGATCAAATTTATTGTAGTTGGAGAATTATCAGCATTTTTTAAAAAAAATTGAATGAGGCATAAGCAAAGATCATTGTTGTCCCCACTATGAAAAGGAAATGAAGGTTTGGACCACATCTGACCTTGATCTTCTGGGAGAGCCAAAGGCCAACATCCAGAAGTAGCTTATTTCCAGAAGCATCTTGAGTATCCACAAAATTCATGCTTTTCGCAATGAGATCTTGCCCAGCACCCTCAGCCACTACAATGACCATATGGCCATTGTCCTTGAGCCGTTTCTCGATGAATTCAAGGAGTCCACCTTTTCCTTCTAGATAGAATGGAGACTCTGGGATTAAGCAACAATCCTGAAGTAAAAAAGTAGATCAACCATATAATTCAGCATTTACCCTAGATTGATCAATGCAATGAACAAGTAGAATGATTAAAACATACCACATCGCGACTAGCCAGAGTAGCATACATTGCGATGAACCCTGTAGCAGTAAATTTTAAAGCTCCTTAGTACTTTCTGGTAGAATATGTGGGGGCAAGTTCATAAATCATAATCATATTGGGGAGGTACATACCACTGTTGCGCCCCATTAGTTTCACAACACCAATGCCATTCTCTGCACTCTCAGCCTCAACATGAGCAGCATTGATGGCCCTCTGAGCCTCCTCCACCGCAGTGTCAAAACCAAAGGACTTGTCGATCACCTGTGCAAACAATTCAACATCAATCTTAGCGATTAGCATGAAGAAAATCCAAACTCAAGTGTGCTGGAAAGAAGAAAGTACCGCAATGTCGTTATCTATGGTCTTTGGGACACCAACCACAGAACATTTGAGGCCTCGCCTCCGAACTTCCTGAAATCATTTTCAACAAGTTTGTGTTATAGATAGCATTGGGCATCCCACAAACATTTATTTACATCATTATCAGCCTGTGAGTTACCTCATAAATTACGGAAGCACCTTTCTGGGTACCATCACCTCCAATAATATACACCTGGTTAATACCGCGATCCTTAATACTGTCAACTATTTTGCCGGTGTCATGGCCTCCTCTGGAGGTTCCAAGAACAGTCCCACCTCTCTTGTGGATGTCATTCACCGATTTCGGTGTCAGTGCGACGGTGTTTCTAGAATAGAAACCCTTGTATCCACCCTAAACATGCACATCAGAATCAAGTCAATAAAACAAAAACAGAATGATCACAACAACTGATTAGGAGCACCATTTACACACAAACAGCATTAGCATCATGTCATTGGCCACCAAGTGCCAACTAAAATGCTTGTGTCACTTTCAGTATTGTGTTCTCAGATGATTTTTGCAGTAATGGCATTTCTGATATCCTAAAATGTACATATCAACTACTCCCAAAACATGTTTAGCATCCCAACAAAGAACTAAGTTACACAAAGCCGTGACAAAATAAGAACAAGTTAATCACCTCTATGCCAACGACGCTGGTGACGCCATACATATCATACAAGCCGCACACAAGCTCGCGGATAACAGTGTTAAGTCCAGGGCAGAGGCCACCGCAGGTGACAATGGCCGCGTTGACCTCATCGGACTGGAAGTACACCCGCTGCCGCGGCCCGGCTCGCCGGAAATGGGTGCCCCTAGCACTGGTCTTATGAACAACGATCTGAAGCAAGCAGCAAACACCACAAAATTAAGTTAGCTCAGTCAAACTATGATCACCCTGTAACCGAATTACAGTAATCTTTTCGTCATGGAAAGATGAAGCCTCACCTTTTGCGTGACGGTGTCGTCAGTGTTGACGAAGTATTGCCTGCAAGAAGAAGAAGGAGCACACGTGGTGTGAAGAAAGGTAAGCCTTTTTGTACCAAGCGTGGTTGGACTATGGAATAATGGAATTCTCATGGATCAAATGGAATTAATTTAGAGCAGGAGACGAGGAGAATTCTTACTTGACGACTGAATAAGCCGGGTTGTCTTGCAGAGGATTCGGGTAAGTCTGCAGATCAGCAACAGTAGCAGGTGAGCAGTTGCTTCAAGAAATGGGGTCAAAACGATACTGCAGCTCAATCAGTAGGCGCATCGCCCACAGAAATTGAAATTTCATAATCCATTTTTTACAGATCGATTTAACTTCGCTTCAAACTTTATCGGAACATTTGCTTAAAACATTATCGGACCAAGTAAATCAAGAGTTAAATCTAAATCACTTTCTCAAATCAATCCACAAACTGGAATTGGGATGACCTGAACCAAACACAGGCCAAAAAAACATCCCCAAAAGAGCGGGAAAAAAATCCAAATCTTTGCTCGAAAGCTCACATAAAACTGTGTAGAACCCCAAGAAAGCAAAAGAACTTTAACCTTTCGACTCAAATCATCTCAGCTAACCGCGAGACACCCGAAGAAGAAGAGGCATATGGGGGCAGTTGCACGCACCGGAAGCTCGGGCAGGTAGTCCGTGAGGTGGGGCACGTCCTCGAGCACGTACCCGGCGTCGCCGCCGACGAGCTTCTTCTTCATCGCCCACTTGGCCGCCATCGACGTCGACGGCGCCGCCGGCGCCGCCTTCCGGGACTCCTTCACTTCGAGCAGCTTCTTCTCCGGCACCCCCGCGGGGGCCGGAGCCACGCCGACGGCCTCCATGCGGCGGCGACGACGACGAGGAGGGGCGGCGCTTAATTATCCGTTAACCAAAAAAAAAAAACAAAATCTTTCTCGAGTGGCAAACGCAAAGCGAATTCTTTGTATCTGCGATTAGGAACAAAAAAAAACAAGCTTAATCGCGAATAATCTTTGGGACTAATCTGAGGTGGGTGTTCTTCTTGGTGATTTGGGGGAGCCGCGGGGTGGTTTTATACATCGGATTCGGGTGGAATTGCCGTCGCGCGCCGCCGTTAATCGCCGCGCTTTGACGACGGCGAGGGGTGGACGTGGACGGGGAGAAGGTTCGTGGGGGGTTCATAACAAGGCCCGGGGTTTCAGTTTATTGACGGTTTTGCCATTTCGTTAATTGTGCTTCTGGTTTGCGGAGGAAGAAATTGTTTTCGCGCTTACTAGAGTGAGACATGGAATATTCTTCGGCATATTTAGGGCTAGAGAAGATGTGTGTGCTCTCTTTTTTATTATTTTTTAAAAGATATAGAAATATGTATTCCCTCCGTCCAATTTTAAGTACAACCATGATTTTTCGCGCCGAATTTTGACCATCCGTCTTATTTATTTTTTTTAAAAAAATTAAAAACATAAGTCACGAGTAAAGTAATATTTATGTTTTATCATCGAGGGCTGCTAGCCCACCGTTGCAGCGGAATATTTTAAGTGACTCTCCCTTTTCCTTTTCTCTGTCCATGTGTGCTCCTCTAGTACCTGGTACCTGTACCGGTTGGTACCTGGTACCTTTGATACCAATTAGGTATCGACCGATACCTGATGCTCGGTACCCAAGATACCGGGTGGTACCTAGGTATCAGACCTTGATACCAAGGTATCAAGCCTGATACTTGTGGGGTATTAGAAGGTACTGTCAAAAAGAGGAGGAGACGTGGAGGAGGGAGGGCCGCAACGGCGGAAGATGGCGTCGAGGAGGCACGGCGAGGTGAGGGGTGAAGCCCGAGCCAAAGAGCGCGAGAAGTCTCAAGGAGGAGGTTGACGGCCATACCTGTTGTAGGTCGACGCGGGCTGTCGGCGTCCATCCCGGAGGCGCAAAAGCAGCAGGCCGCAGCGGGGACAACGGTGACGCTGAGACCGAGGGCGAGGACGAGGGGGGCTCCCGCTTCTGCCCTCCCTGGGGCGACGACTCCCCGGCGCACACCTGACCGACGAGGGCGGTGAGCCAGAGCGGCACAACGAGGGGAGGCGAGCTCAAGGGCGACCCCGCCGAGGGTTGGCCGACCTCGCTGACGCAGTGCCGTCGTCGTCGTCCTCCTCGGCCGCCGGAGACGATGACGACGACCCCTTCCTCCCGGCCGGCTTCGTCTCCACTCGGCATTCTTTAGAGAGAGGGGAGAGGGAGAGGGAGGGCTGCAGTGCTGTGTGATTTGGGGGAGGAGAGTGAGGTAGGAGGAGAGGATTCGGATGATTTTGGGGAGAGGAGTGAGGTAGGAGGAGGGGATCCCGTCTCCATGGGATGCCGTGGTGTAGGTTTTCTATTTATCATCTCATAACAACAGAAATACTAATCATAAAAAAATTTCTAATAAGATGGACGATTAAAGTTGGGTGTAGTTGTACTTAAAATGAGACGGATGGAGTAACATATATACTCGTATGCGCGTGCGGACATATCCCTAAAAATATATATATGCACATCCTATCTGAATGAATACATCGACACTAACCCGGAACTTCATTCTATGCATAACTGATAAGCGTATTGCATTTGGACCCTGACCAAGATGCAAAGAAAATCCCCTCGTACACGCCTCGTTACATGCTTGTGTTGTTATATCCTGAGGCCTCACGTCACGACCACATGACACGTTGAGTGTGTGTGACTCTGCATTTAACTGAGCAAACATATCATTTTTCTCCGTGTGCAAACGTTCTACATGCGAGAGGCATATATTCAATCCACCTGGACTATCTGCGCATACCGCATGCAAATGTGTGGCGTTGATTATTTGTGGATTTTATTTTTTTTTAAAAAAAAACTGGCTATGCGTTTATCAATTGTGGATGAGGGAAAGTATATCTTGAGTTTGGTAAAATCACTGCATACGTATAGTATTGACGGGTTTTTGCATGTGAATATTAGAGATGCTATAAATTTTATGGCTCTCGCACATAAGCTATGGCTATATTGATGAAGCTATGTATGCTGTGGGCTCCTTTAATATTTAGAATGTAAAAGTTTACAAAAGAACTTTTTACGGATTAGTTCAATTCGTTCTAAGTTCCTCCGTTCCATGGGATGCCTCACTGTAATTTTTCGTGGACAAGACAGAATAATTTATAGCACTAGAGAAAGTGACGTGGATAATCGTATCAATATTTTTTTTTGTTTAAAACTCCTAATTTAAAAATGACATGTACTGCAATCTAAGATCAATTGTTTAATTTGGGGTGCTTTTCCTTCATGAATCTCATAGTAAGTCAACAAAGCATATTATTGAGGTATGATTTATAAACCATTACCCGTACCACTAAGATTTCTAACATACTCAAAATGAAATAAATTTATGGCATCAATCGCTCTGCGTCCGGCCCTCTTTCTTATCAAACAATTCCAGCATGCTCTCTCATTCTCATTAAACTATTTCAGAGTTAAAAAAAGAACTGGTTAAATAGCATTGTTGCTATTTTTTATAATTTAAAATATTGCATGTTTATTCAGCATGATTATAGCAGGAGAAAAGAATTAGATAAGTACCCATATGAAATTGCTACTGAGAGAATAGGCAGGGTCATACATGGAAATCAGCACAAGATTTGTTTCACGGTGCCAACGGCGCCAACTCTCCCCTGCTACCGTACGTCCTTGAGACAGGGCAAAAGAGTCATTTTTTCCAACATATTGGATGGCATCACATGCAATTTCAGCCAAATCAAAGGTGTAATCCCACTTAACAGCCATGACGTGTCACGTAGAAACATCACCAGGACAGTTAAAATTGGCGGTGCACGGGGTTCATCTCATTGAAAAGGGGAAACGAGAGAAAAAAAGACTTGGAAAAATACCGTCAAATTTTCTAGATTAATTAAGAGACATGAGAAAAATGATTAGTGATTAGTTTCTGCTTTCTAGAGCCTCCTAGAGAAGAAGCACACGAAGGACACTTGATTGATGCAGATCATGCTCCTCCGACCATTTCTTTTTCTTTTTATTTTTCTCTACTATCTTTTGATCTGCTCCATCCAATCCTTGACTTGGACATCCTGGGCCAACCATATCAATGATTTTGTTTATGTGGCTAATCTTGATTGTGGTCACAGTTAATTATTTTCTCCTTTTTTTCTGAGGCTGCCATTGGCCTGATCATTAAACAAATGCTAATAAAAACAAAAAGAAATCATTAGAGTTTGTTTTAATAAATGGAGAGATCTAGCTTGGTGTTGCAGAAATGCAGACTGCCAGAGTTGCATTAACATGACACCTGGGCATGGTTTCTCTACATCCTGACACGTGTCCCTGGGAGTCACACACATGGCTGTTGCCTGTTGTCCCTCTCAGATCACAAGCAACATTTTTCTAGGATAAAACAGTTGTTTTTTTTTAAGAATTTTTTTAACCAAACGTGTTTAAGGGAGAAAATGATGTGGATAGATCTTGTTCTCGAAGACATGGGGAGGGCGATTTGCAATACTAATTCCACATTTTGTACCCTAATTAATAAAAAAACATGCTGAAAGAAGAGGAAGCAGGGGCATAGCGTACGGACGGTGTCTTTGACGTGGTTAGTTGCCCTGATTGAGATTATGGTTGCCCCCTTCCCCAATCCACGCACATTATGAACTCTGACAGAGACGTACACCTTGATCTCTAAGGCATGTCTCAGGTCATATATGCATGTTAGTACTCCAGACGTCCTAATTAGATGTCATTTTAACCTTTTACTTACCACGTTTGGCCATTTATTTTATTTAAAAAACAGTACAGTCATATTTGAAGCACTTTTGATAATAAATCAAGTCACAAATAAAATAAATAATAATTTTATAATCTTTTAAATAAGATAAATGGTTAAACGTTAAAAAGAAATCAAAACGACGAGTAGTTCGAAACGGAGGTATTACTGTGTTGTTCTCTAGAAAATAATCTGACAATGGTGCCCATATTTACGCATGTGGCTACGTTACTACCAAGGCATGGCGCCCATTGTAGTTTGGCATGGCCAATTTATTTTGAGTTGTGATCTTGTGGACAGTTGTGTTTAACCATTAATTTTATTCTATAGACATCATTAATTTATTTTGAGTCGATTTATTTTTGGAGAGAGAGTACATGTATTTTTCAATTGATCTAAGATTCACACTAAATGAATCCATGGGTCAACCAATTCCAAAAGGTACTTTCATAATAATGAACAAAAGGTACACGACCCTGGCTTTGTCTTAAGGCCCTGTTTAGTTCCCAAAACAAAAATTTTCATGCTATCACATCGAATATTTAGACACATGCATAAAGTATTAAATGTAGAAAAAAACCAATTATACATATTGCGTGTAAATTGTAAGACGAATCTTTTAAGTCTAATTGTATCATGATTTGACAATGTGGTGTTATAGTAAATATTTGCTAATAATAAATTAATTAAGCTTAATAAATTCGTCTTGCGGTTTCAGAGCGGAATCTGTAATTTATTTTGTTATTAAACTGCGTTTAATACTTTAAATGTGTTTCCGCATATCCGATATAACCACTAAACCTAAATTTTTCCCTAACTAAACAATTCCTAATTAAATTTCCTAGCTTTGTCTTCAATTCCTGAACCAGTTCTACCTGTCCGAGTGATACATGCGTCCATGACAACTTTCATAAAAGACTCTAATTACTCTAAGAAAGAGACTAATCAAAGAAAACAAACACAGGCAGCAGCAAAGCTTAGGACACATTGAGAGGAGGCAGCCATAGAAGAAAGACTCCATGGCCGGCCGACCAAGCTCTTTTCTCCAGTCGCATCCATGTGGAGTTCACAATTTTTATTGCAAGACTATGTGCGATCCGTCTTGGCTTCCTCAACCGCCCACATATTTCTTTTTCTTTCCTGTCAATCTCTCTCTCAGCAAGCAAACAAAGCACAAAACTCTGATCAACTCACTAATGACAGCACGCCAACAAACTAGTAATTAAAAAGTGGTAGCATTGGTTAGTTTATGGTTGGGTTAGAGTCAAAATCAGGGTGCTGATGCCTTGATAACCTCTCACATGGTCCCTGATAAGCTTATAGATCAGAGGCAGATAGGCTACCAGCGAGTGGTTTTGGATGATGACAGGAGCATTATTCCCTGGGAGATGCTTATAAGCTTATTGTGCGTATATCATGTATGCATCCACCTGTGAGATCCTGATTAGATGTTTGGTTGTGACCTATGAGAGGTTAGGGATGGGTGATGAGTATTATAAACTTGCTTTTAGATGAGAGAAGTGTAAAGTGTCATTATTGTAATGGAGGGCATATTAAGGTTCCCCTCCCTGTTTTGTCAAATCCGAATCGATCTCCTCTTATCATCTCCTCCTTGGGATGCATTATTCTTGTTGTCTTTCTTGTTGATGACTTTGGGTAGCTGATACCACTTGCATGTTTCATGTGTAGAATCATGTAATCAGGACCTTCATTTTCCAATCAGAAGGTCAAGATGGTAGCTTCAATTTCCAATCAATACAAATAAATGCTTCCTTCATTTCTTTAATGTATGATACCCGTTGACTTTTTTTTATTAACGTTTGGTTATTCGTCTTATTTAAAACTTTTGTGTAAATATAAAAATATTTATATCATGCTTACATAACATTTGATGATAAATCAAGTCACAATAAAATAAATGATAATTATACAATTTTTTAAATAAGACGAATGGTCAAACGTATCTCAAAAAGTCAACAGTATCATATATTAAAAAAAGGAGTGCTAAGGCTATGCTTCCATGGAGTAGAAAAGAGTTCATATAGCTTCACATAGGAAAACAGAATATGTTATACTCAAAATGTACACTTGTTACCTTTTTTTTTTTAAAAAAAATACTTTTTCCTTTTGAAGGAATGCAGAATGCTACATCAAACAACATGTTCTCTATGCTAAAAACAGTGTCAGTGATGTAATACTTTCCGTGATTTATTATATAGGAATACCACAAAATCTTCTCGAACTTCTCCTTTTCTTCAGAGGAGAAAAACAAAATTATAATGAGAGCATCATCTCCGAAAACTTGGCGTCCGTTCCTTCCTTCCTCTTCGGTTTGCTTTGCTCATGAAAACGACACATACCGGTGGTATCAAACTACAAATGAACAGATTTAAATGCTCCTTCTACATCAGACAAAGACAAGAGAACAAAATAAACTATTGATTGGTAGCGAAGTCAAGTTTGTCGATTAATTCTTTGGCTACCTAGCTAGCTTGTCCAATTGGAGCTCAACCTGTACAACTGTATGTTCACAAAAAAAAAAAAAACTGTACAACTGTGCCGCAAAACACATACTAGAAATAAACGAAAACTGCTGGTTAAGCAGATAATGGTGGTTTCAACTATATTTCATTTCATGGTCCCTGCAACAATCTCAGGTTTGAGATTATAGAAAGCTAGCAACAATTCCCAATTTTGCCAGATTAAATTAACGGACAAAAAATTTACCCGTTTTTATTGGAGAAGATCAAAATTATATCAAGTGGAAGAAACAAAAGAACAACATGCAAGTTGAAAGGCAGCAGGCTAAGCTCCAATTAGTTTTTTTTTTAGACAGGTAAGCTCCAATTAGTAACCAGTGATGTTTGCATACATGAGGTTTTATCTAACACAGGTATTATCTCCGCATGCATGATGAGCTCATGACCTACCTCCCTCTGTCTCACCCTGATCGCCTTCCATTGGTGATGATTAAAGGTTTTATCTATGTATAAACTAACATGATGCTGCCAATGACGGATGAAGTGGATGAAAGTTACACAAAGCTGAATTTCAATAGTCCAAAATGTCACCCTCCATGGAGGTCATCAAGCAACATTATGATGCATTGAAAAATGTTATTCTAATTTGATGAAGCGATGTATAGACTTTCTTTTCGTCCAATTGGCTCTGTCGCGAGTGATGCAAGTATTTTTTTCTTTAATTTGAGAGTGTTATATGATTGGAGTGTTCAAATGAATATTGTTGTTCGTGGCTGTGAATAAACGCCGCCGTTGCGTTAGTTTAATCCACTTAAATACGAAACGGCTATCTGGTAAACCAATGATTAATTTGGGTCCTAATAAACCCAAGCCAATCCTTTATTTAAACGGATGGATGCATCTAGGTGCCAACTCCAAATTCTTCTTGTTCCTCGACAGGGAAAAAAATATAGCAAAAAGAAAAACTTGTTTCAGATTCGTTCTTGAAATGTAAAATATGCATTTGCTTTGCTTTGTTCGTTTCTCGAGTTAAGTGTTAACTTCCATTGGACATTGGTGTAGCTAGTTGACATTATTATGCCTTGATGATGTAGTAGGATCAATCGAGGCAAAGGCGAATACGACATTCTTTGACTTATTTGATTTGGAGGAATGCTACTGTAAATTACTCCACTCCATATTAACCATATACAGATTTCAGCGACGTCACTAATAAGAGTATAACCCAACAAGTCCATTAGAGGATTCAGATAACAACACGAAAAGCCTACAAACTTTGCTTGTTTCCCATTTGCTAGTCATTACTCCTTTCGTCCCAAAATATTAATACATAGTAGAACATGAAGTGGCATTACCCAATATGTCCTTATTCAGATTCCTAATGTCCTTATCCAAATTTATAGTACTAGGTAATATCACTTCATGTTCTAGGTAACCACGTTTTGGGACGTGGGGAGTGGTCACTAGCATGCCGTCAATTGGTTGGTACCTTGTTTCACTCTTTGGAGCATCAAAAAGTAGGTTGGTAACAATGCTGTCAATGCATTATTCCAGCCTTCCAGGACTAACCACACAAACGGTGGCAAGTTGTCTTAGAAAATAATTTTCTTGCATACACTCTCCAAAAAAAAACCCACATATATAAGCCTTCGTGGTTATCAGGAAGCTATGAATAGGTTTGTGATAACTTGACTCGACCGAAAAGGAAGAAGACCGAACGGGAGAAAACCATGGGGTTAGCGAGCGAGAGAGAGAGAGAAACGCCGGCGCCTCCGGTGTTTGAGCAGGTTAACCAAGGACGGAGACGTCGAGGTAGAGGAGCATCCACGAGCCAACAAACAACGACTCGGACTCGGAACAACGAGTGGCAAATCGGCAATGGGTGGTGGGTGGGTCGGTGGCACTGCGATTGCATTCCGTCGTCTCCTCGACTGCAATAATTCTGGCCCCTCCAGCCGCCGGGAGCTCGGAGTCAGAAACGGCGACTCCCTCAAACAGGAGGCGTCGCCGTCGTCTTTGCCGATGTGGTGTCGCCTCGCGACCTGGACCCTCCCTTTCCAATCCCATGGGCCACTCATGTCCAAACCGCTCGTACACGGCCCAGAAGTCAACCAAGGGTGTCGTTTCCTTCCAACCAAGACACCTTCTCAGAAATTTCGGCTGCTGCTGCTGCTACAACCATTTTCCTTCGCAGGAAGTTGGTTCTAGAGCTCATCCAGACGATGCACCATCGTACACAGACCCATCCCCTGCTGCATTTTCAGCACAGTAGATGATACTGAATAATTAATTTTATTCATAGACCTTGGAGGGCATTTGGGAGTTTACCAGCCTGCATTGCTGCCTCTAGCTGCTCTTTGCTCTTTGCCTTCGACTCATGAGCTCGATTTCCTCGAATTCAATCATGGAACCAAACAGACGGGAATTGACAGTCCAAACAGCATGCAAAACGTGATTGGAATTGTGGAAAAGCGATGGCTCACAGCAGTTCCCTCGCTTTGGACGCATCTCCTGCAGAATTTCACTGTCATGCAAGAGTATAGATAGAATATTTATTCAAGTGTTTCAGCATTCGTGTCAAAGATTTTGCAAGGAGACCGGTATTTTGTACAGGCCCTGGCCGCCACCGAAAGAGGGCCCTAAAATTTACAGGCCCATAAAACTGATGAAAACAGCATAAAAAATTCCAACTCAAGTGGACAAATGTTGCAGAAAAAGGTAAAATATGGTATTCTCAATCATCCAGAGTTAAATGATCAAAATTGTATGAAGCTCCTTATTTTTCTCTCTGAAACCCTGCCAATGAATGGCCTGAGGAAAAACTATCAACAGTTAAAACTTGTCCAGGAGGAGGAAAACAATGACCACATTACTACTCATTTCGAGCGAAACTTGCCACTGACTGAATCATAAGTTGGCACGTTCAGAACTGCATCGTAAAGGGCAGAGTTAGGATACTGCAACTGTTACACTATGTAAAGATGACTGGCTACATATGAAAAATATGAGCTAACCGTTTCCATGAGATGCCATTGTCAATGGTGATGATATGATTTTCTCAGCAAGGGCTGTAATGTCTTTCAGAGTAACACCATCAACAGCCTTGAGAAGGTGCTCAACAGGTTTCCTGAAAAATTTTATGAAACAAAAATTACGGCGTAAATTAGCCTGCATTGAAGATTAAAAATATTCCAGGGAACACAGGATAATAAACACCATGCTATGAGTTTGAGGTATATACACCCTCTGTACAATTTTTTGAGGCTTGGCTTGAGTTGGTATGGTCATCAAAATTAAAATTTGAATATTAATTTCCAATACAATACAAGACCTACATATTCCTTTATCCTATGAAAACACAAAAACTTATATATATAAATTTACGGATAAAATAATATGCATATAACATGACAAATTGTGGGCTAAAATTACAAGGTCTGAATTTGGAAAAACTGGATGGAGGGAACTTCATCATTTGAATATGTATATATTTTTATTTATTTATTTTGTAAAAAAAACTTTTAGCTTATATAGCAGCACATACAAAATAACTGCCCATACACATCAGATAACAGAAATGAGTACATTGAAGACAATATGGAACGGAATGAAGGGGGTGTGGGTGTTCTAACTCACTACAATAATTTAGATAATTTCTGCAAATACTGTAGAATGCCAACAGAAAGATTTATCAAGTGTAAAAACCTGTTTTTTTCAGTTATCTTGTACTGATCTAAACGATAAAGAGAGCAATAATTTGTGCTATAAAAGCTACGTTATTGCCAGCCTATATTATATAACCTTCTATCCTAATTCCATGAACAAGTCAAATGGCATAGTTCATCTGAACCCTACTAAACATGAGTTCTATAAAATCTAGAGTGCATATTAAACTTTTGTATTTACTATTAAGTCAGTAATAGTATAACCATGTGGCGCTGGATAGAATAGAGATATAAGCAACAGGCAAAACTTTAAGGTCCAGCAATACAGTAGAATAATCAAAACACCACACCTTTCACCAAAGGCCAATATTTGCCGTCCCATGTCTTCAGTTGCTGATGCCTGCGAATTTCAATTCTTAGAGTGGAGCAAAGCAAAAATATGCAGAAATATAATAAGTATGCTTACATAATACATACCTTTGATTCCAGGTTCATCAAGATTGCTGATTTAGCTGTCGCTTTAGCACGGTCAAGTTGAGTTTGGTCAACTGAAATTAAAAGTGAAGTTTGAGAAAAGTGACAACAAATAACTACTTAAGTGATGAGCCAATATAGGAGTTAATACCTTTTCCAGGAGTGGCAAGAGAAGTGAGCTCTCTGGTTGCCAAGTCAATAGCCTTAGGAACGAATGCTGCATCCTGGTATTGAAACAATACACTCACTAGTCATTAGAGTACACAATCTAAAAAACAAACTATGGGACACTACACTTTTCTGCATAAAAATAGTTTAACCGTTCAATAAGAACATACAATGTGACTACATGGTTTAGAGTTCTCAACCAGACAAAAAGAAGCTACTAGCATACTTTAAACCAACCGCTTTGAAACAATTATTCATTACGCCCATTCAAGTGGTGTACATCATTTTTAAAAAAAAACTATCCACGTCAATGGACGAAATCAGTACTTACAGTAGATGTATGAATTCCAAAAATGCCAGTGTTACTGTGAACATCCTTGAAAGCAGCTATCGATCTAATCTGGTCGAATTCATTTGCGAGATGATCTGCACAAAGCAGCACAAAAAATCAGGCACAAGCATGATCCTTAACAAATACATAGACCTTGACTGCCTCCATTAAAGGAATTATATTTTACCCTATATTTTAACACTTCACACTATGTCGACAATATAATCTAAGGAGTATGCAGATAAAAGAACATTTGCAGCGCCACAAGATTTTCGATCATACAAATTTTCAGTATTTGGGCAGGACACTGCACACTTAACAGTTATCAAGTTTAGTTGTTTACCATAGAAAAGAATGGACTGAAAGTTGAACTACATCTTTTACAATTTGTGATGATTTTTCCAGTCAGATCTTCATAAACAATATATACTTATGAGCAAAAACTACTTGGGCTCTCAGCCAGTAAGATAACTGAATACATCCAGTCAGATAATTGAATAATTGCAACTTGGCAGTAAATTCTCATTGCCTATCCAAAGATACAACCCAAGCTACAAGACACACTATAGGGCGAACTTACTTAGACTTGAATGCAAGCCTTTTCCATGCCTTCCCCAGGAATATGTGCCACCGCCACCAAGAAGGGTCTGTTAAAAGGTAAACAGATCGCCCATTTCTTAGTTAAACAATTGAAGTGCTTTGCTTAACAAAAAATTGTAAATGCGAGTCCCTTAATAGTTGTCAGACCTGAAGAACTGATACTGTTACAAATTCTTTTTCTTTGAGCCACCCACCAGGGACCTCAAATGCCAAAGCAACATCTGTGTTCTGTTTTTCAAGAAAAATCCAGAATAAGAAGAGAGAACCTAAATGCCATGAGATGGCATAAATAACTTTATAAATGCCTTACCGATGAATCAGCAGTTCTTCTATATTCCCCACCAACATAGGTAGACTTTGGCTTTGCTGGTCCAGTTACACCAGGCATGTCAGACAGAAGTGGTTCAGCAATAGATACCAATTCATCATGATCAACACCTGTTGCAGCTAGAACAATTCGGGGAGCAGTGTAATTCTCCTGACATCCATACAACAACAAAAAAAGTCAAGTTATCGAAAGCATGTTAACAGCTGTAAACAGATAGAATACGACAAGGGCTTCGGACATGAGTCTCACAGCTAAGAAGTATTCTAGGACATTCGTATTCAATCGGCTAACTGAGGATTCTGAGGCAATCAGAGGGGTTGCCAAAGCACCAGAATAACCAGTAGAATGAAGAGCCTCCAAAAGAAAAGTTTCAGGGTTACTTGAAGCTTCTGCAAGCTCTGCCTTCAGTTTCATTATCTACAAAGATAAATAAGTCAGTAATGAACACATGTTAATCTACATTACAGATTTACAGACATGGATGGCATGATATTACGAGGAAATACCTGTTCCTTGACTTCCCAATCAAGAAAAGCAGGATTGCGTACACAATCAATAAGCACCTCAACCATTTCAGGCATGTAAGTTTTCAGGGCTGCATAACTGTAGCTCATCATCTCACGGTTAGCAGATGCTTTCACATTGCCACCTACTGCCTCGATTTCACGCACAACACGCAAATGGCTCCTGTTTGTAGTGGTTGTATAGGCCATCTTCTTCAACAGCTGAGTGGCACCTAGTGTTTCAGGTGCTTCATGTACAGAACCACAATTAACATATACTCCAACTGAACAAGATGGTCCCTGTAAAGCAAATACAAAGCAGAACAGTATTGCTAACTGCCCACAGAAACATGCATGAAGCAGTTAGATCATAGAAATGAGGAGCACATACTGGAGTTGTCTCAGAAGCAATTTTTACACCATTTGCAAGTGTTGTGATTTTTGTCTTGCCAGGCTCCACAAGGTCAGGTAGCGGAGGTGGAATGGTGACCCCTGGAAGTGTAAAATCTGGAGGAGGTAATGCATTTGACCGTGCACCTGTCAGCCAGGTCCAGAAGCCACCTGATGACCTCTGTGCAACACTTGTGCTAGCACACCTAATCGCAACATTCAACATTTGACCATCCAGTCCATGCCGCTGAAAAAAGAGGTAACAACAAAAATTATGATCGGTAGCACAAGCTGTATTGGCCTGTATAATAAATTCAACTACTCCAAAAACCAGCTGTCTCTGCTTGTGTACTGTCAGAGTTAAGCAGTGCATAGCACAACAATATTTCTATGTACGGAAATCTAATCCATGAAGTTACTAGCATCCTCATTTAAAAGGGGTTTTCTAAGTCCAGGCTTCTGCACTATGCATGATACAAACGAAAGAGCAGCAATCTGATGTCGAATGGAAAAAAAAAATCATCAACACAACGTTTCCAGTCAAGTGAAATCAAATATCAAAGATTTTTAGTAAGCCTATATAAGAAATGTTGATAACATAGGAAGTGAATCATCTAAAGAAAGTTATCTAAACTCTTCAGGGTCATACATCTAACTGTATATATCATTGCATTCAGAGTAATCAACTAAGGGACAACAAAAAACAGAACCAAGCATAAAAGATAAAACTGATACTCTCCATATTGAGCGATAAGCCGATAACCTCCTGCTCTCAGGATGATTTTAGCCGCCTAACTCATGAAGTTCAGCAATAACGAGGGAATGACCAACCCAGAACCTATTAAAACTCAACATAATCCTATTTCAGAAAAATGTATGCCCTCATCGCCTTTCCACGCCTTTGCAGAACGTCAACTGAGATCAAACGTATCCAAAAAAAAGGTATGCTACAAAACAAATCCGTAATAACAACCCTCATCGTCATATATCAAATCCAGGCTTTTCCCAATTCACTAGGCAACCACGATCGCTAGCTGCGACGAGGGGCTCATGACCTCACGCGCACACATCAAATCCACACCGAAGCTCGCTCGATCAGACCACTAAAGCGTACCATTCCACCACGCATCGCGAAGCGATAACCCTAAGGGGGATTCGGATCGGACGCATCGTGGGGTGATACCATCAGATCTAGCGAAATGGAGCGAGGTAAGGTTCACGGTTTGGGGCGGGACGGGTGCGGCTGACCTTGATGGCCCCGAGGCCGGAGGCGGCGCGGTACATGGCGACCCGGTGCCCGCGGAGGGGTCGCTCGTCGGAGTCGTCGCCGGCGGCGGCGCGGCGGCGGAGGCGGAGGCGGAGATGGGGAGGAAGCGAAGGGAAGGCGAGGGCCCGTCAGACAAGTGGAAGGGGAAGAAATTCGAGGCGCTGGTCCGCATATAGAAGTGGGCGAGAGCTCTTAAATGGGCCGGGCCGAATAAGAGGAATAATTCTGTGGCGATTGGGCCCACTTTGGCCCATTTTCTAGATGCGTTGGGCCTTACCCCTCTCGCCTCTCGTGGGCTCGTGGGGAGTCGTGGCCATCTGATCTCTCTCACAAAGCCATCCTCCGCTGCGCCGGCGCTCGCCGAGTCGCCGCCGTTGATGCGCCGCCCCGGCTCGACGTCTCCGGCGGCGGAGACGAAGGCGGAGGCGGCTACGCGGAGGGACGGGGTAGGCGTGCGACGGCGACGGTTGTGAGGCTAACGGCGCCGGTCGAATCCTCCCTCAAAGTTTGCAGATGAGTTGCTTGATCAAATGCCGATTAGGGATGTCACGCTTGAACGTGCTTGTGCGTTTCGTATTTTTTTTCTCCCCTTTCTAGTTATTGCTGTTGGTGTCTAGTTAATTTTGTCGCATTTGCAATTACGTCTGGGGATTTGCTCCTCGCGTGGTAGATGACTTCCAATTTCCACGGCATTGAGTGAAGAGAGAGTGATGGTTTCTGTGCTGAAATCATCCCCGGGTGGGTATGCAATGCAACTGATCTGACCACCACCACCTGTTTGAGGGAATTCCAGTTTCAGTTCATAAATTTTAGCGGGTACATCTTCTGTTCTGTCTGAAAGATGTGTCGTGTGCAAAGTTGTCGCTTGTCAGAATGGTCCAAATCTGCTTGTTGAGCTGTGGGCTTTCGACAGATTCAGGACAAGCTGCCAAGGACGGCTCTAGATTTCGAGCATGTGTTTGGTGTATGCGTAGGGTTGGTGTATGGAGGTAGTTGGTTATTGTGGGCGTTTGTGTAGGGTCTTAACAGTTATTGCTTTGATGTTTGATCAGATCACGCTTATTAGGTGGAGGACCTGTACAGATTAGTCATTTGCGTACAGGAGATTGTGTCAATGCTCTCGCAGGAGACTTTTATTCGTGTCAATGATCTATGCAGCCATGCAGGAGACCTTTTAGAGTGCTTGTGAGACCTAACATCCGTTGATCATTTTAAGAGGGACACATATTAACTTGATTGTAATGTGCCTTGTATGAGGGAGTAGCTGCTAGCTATAGTTGTTGGCCAACCACAGCAATGCATTTTGTTCCTATGGTCTTTGGATAGTGTACTGTCCAATGTCAATAAAAATTTTCACTATTGGTGGTTGTATGTTAACACAATTTTCTTGCAGTCCTTAAAAGGAGGGCAAAAACTTTGCCTTGTATATGTTAATAGAGCAGGAGAACTCTCTTGCATTATCAGTTTGCTATGCCTCCCAGTTAGGATGTAGCTTACATCCTGAGAATAGACCGCCATATACTGTGTTATTGTCTGTGTACATCCAATTGGATGTAGAGGCCGGGTTTAACCCATTTTCTAAAAATACTGTGCCATTTGGTGGTGTGCATTTGGAGCAAAACAGATTCATATTCCTTCTATTTAAGTTGTTGTTATTGATTCCTTGAACAAATATATTATATTCTTCCTGTTTTCGATGGAAAAGTTTTACATTGCTTGAAGTAACACAATTTCTGAAGCACCTGGACATGTCTGTGAGACAGCACATCCACTTAACTGATAGTATTCCATAGTATTATTCTGCACCTTCTTGTTTTAGTGCAAGCATCTCAGATGGGAAAAACTGCCTGCAGTTGTAAAATATCTTTGTTGTCACAATTTCCTACCAGCACGACATTTTCATTTAGTTCCTCATGTAATGTTTCTTCTCTCAATAAGGTAGCTGTTGCAGAGTGATCAGCTAATGATTGTTGGACTCTTCTTGTCAATTAGGTAAATACTTAAAATAACCGTCAAGGCATCAAGGGAAGCATGTGCTGGCGGATTGTGCTTGATGATGTTTAAAAGTCCTCATGGCGCATGGGAGGGGAACTGTGCTGCCTGTGCTTTGAGCATGACCGCAGCAGGTGCAAGCCACGGTTTTATGCATGATCTTTATATGCTCTTTTATGAAATGAATTTGTTATGTGTCGTAAACTTGTAACTGTTCCTCGAAAGCTCACCACAAATTGTAGTTAGCCTCTTGTATTTCCTATCACTTTCATGCAGCATGTATAGGTTCAATTGGTCCGCGTAAAACTGCGACAGGCTAACATTTTTCCCCGCATGATGTCTGTTTTTCATCTTCCTTCCCCCCATTAGGTGGCAATGTGTTTTCAATAAATATGTTGGTAGAATATGTGCTCTGATTTTTACTATATGCATACAGATTAAATTGCTCAAAGAAGATATGGCTTAGTTTACCAGCTTCAGAAAACTATGTCTCTCATATGTCTACATGCACAGGTGAACGGTCAGCTCGTCAGAAAGAGATCGGTTGAAGTTGTACGCCTGAATGCGACTGCGTCAATTAATGTGATTCAACAGAAGACATGAATTGATCAAGAGAGTTGCATGTCCGTTCAGGTACTTTACTCTTTGACATTTTCTTGATTGATTTGGTATACTCTGCTAATGAATAGTGGAGTAGTATACAATTATATACGCATTTATACGCTGTGACTTGTGATCATATTTTTGTACGTATACCAAGCAACACATTGCAATTATTAATTATGAGCTTGTGACAGGTCCGTCGGTTGGCCAGAACCACGACTCCAAGTGTACGTACGTTTACCACACACAAACCTCTTATTATTCCGAGCAACTCATGCCTCGTGCGGATTATGTATAGTCAATAGTCATATGGCCTCATGGGTGATATTCATGAAACCCCCCGTGAGGTGTTCCTACCATATCATTTTTTTTCCCTGATAACGAGACACATGATTAAGAATGTGTTTGCCTAATGATGCTGATGAATCTTTGCCCTGCCAAATGCCAAGACGGCCGGGGCTATCCCCCCTGGAATTTTCTCGCAGGTGAGCAAGATGTCGTGTCGACATTGGGAGGAGGAGGGGTTATCAGGGTCATAATGGCTCTGATTTGGGCATGCATGAGAGGCACAATGCAACACACGGCCGCGGGGTAGAGAGGTGGACTGATCGGAGCAGGCAGGAAGGCAGCTGCTCGACGGATGAGCCCGATTTTTCCCTGTTCAGGATTTATTTACAGCTCCTGGAGTAAGGCGTAAGCGAAGGCGACCGCGCGAGGAGAGACACAGAAGGAGAGGAGGAGGACGATGCTGTTCCAGTCCAGGTACGGTTGAACCTAACCGAGCTAACCTTATCGCCGCTGTCAATGTTCTGCAACCTGGTTTATGGATGTGTTTAGTTCGTGAAAAGAAAATTTTTCGGTGTCACGCTAGATGTTTGATCGGATGTCAGAAGGGGTTTCCGAACACAAATAAAAAAACTAATTTCATAACTCGTCTGGAAACCGTGAGACGGATCTTTTGAGCTTAATTAAGCCATCATTAACACACGTGGGTTACTGTAAGCTTAAAAGATTCGTCTCGCGATTTCCATGCAAACTATACGATTAGTTTTTGTTTTTATCTATATTTAATGTTTTATACATGTGTTCAAAGATTTGATGTGATGTTTTTGAGGAAAAAAAAAAGGAAACTAAACCAGGCCTATCTATCTGGGCCTGACGCCGGCCGTCGTGGTCGATCGATCGCGCCCACAGGCACAGGCACGGCAGGCTGGCCGTATCGATCTGATCTAGCTAACCCCACCTCACTGCAGCAGCAGCAGCAGCAGCGCGGGGACCTGATCTCTCTCCCTGCCCGGTGGGGCCCGGAGCACCAGCTCCGCTGCTCTGGTCATGCTTTCCATGGCAGGAAGGAATGTGACACACACGGTGGTGCCGGGGAGAATGGCAGCTGGGCCCCAGCTGCTAGCTGCGCGCGTGTACTGGGTCATCAATTAACAGTTTTCGTCAGCTTGTTTGGATGTGGCCACCTAAGCTAGCGCTGAGGTGACATACAAGGAGAGCGTGTCGAAACTGGAGAAGACGGGGCTTGCTGTTCAACTGCTTCAGACTTTGCAGGAGGGCACTGCTTAAGGAGGTAATTAAGCAACTGTCCAGTGTCCTACTAGCAATATATATATTCGAAGTACATCCACATTGGATCAATCGTCCTCGAGTGAACAGAGGTACGACATTCTCCATCAGTTATGAGTACTTGCATGCAGGTTCTGTCTGGCTCATTGGCAGTTTGGCACAAAAGCATTTCAATTTATTGCTGCAATTTCTGTTTGTTTAAACCTGAGCATGTAGTAGTAGATTATTATCTTTATCGAATACGGAGTGGATTAGATGCTGGCCGGCATTCTTGCTGACACACAAAAGGGGTTAATTGTTTTGGATGTCTGAGAGCCAATGGCTAGGGTTCTGCTTGCAGGAGAAGGTTGCTCCCTCCCCTGGGCAGGCATGCGAGGCAACACGAGCATATAAAATTTTTATGTATGTTCTCTCTAGCCTTAGCTTGTCTACATGTACCCTTGTTGGGGTCCATCAAGTGTTGTGTAGTACTGCTCCATCTGCCTTGGGTGGGAAGCAAGCCCTGGGATTCACCTCTCTCTCTCTCTCTCTCTCTCTCTCTCTCTCTCTCTCTAGTCTCCAACATCACAGACTCTCATGCCGAAAAGGATCATCATTCGAGCACAAGGCCTCCTCCATATGCCCATGTGAGAACTCTTATCACCTGCTCCGTATATCTTCTTTCTACTGCAATTTGCAAACCCCATTATTGTGCATTGGAAAGAAATATCCTTTTCCATCATTCCGCGAAAGCGAATGTGTGAAAGAAGTGTTTCTTCCCAGCTGCATGCCCAATACCTCACATGATTATTTTGTTCACATCGTAATTAATTTAGCACTTTCTCCTGTACTGGCAATCTGGATTTAAAGATTTTCTTGTTGAGTATCAGGATTTCTTTTGTTTGTTTAACAGCTTGATGAAGTGCATGGCAATGCAACCTTTGATGAGTCGATCGACTAGCACCTAGCTCGCCCTCCACTCGTAGGAGCTTTATGCTGCGTGTGAGTGAGTGCAGTGCAGTGCAGTGTGTGGAATCTGCAGTAACAGCTGTGATGTGGTGAGGCAGCAGTTCTTCTTGCCTTTTGCTTTTTAGTTGTAGGACTGGCCAGTCTCTCTTAAGCTCTCTAAATTAATAAATATACATGAATCAGCTAGCTAGCGGTAAACGTCTAAGCCAAAGGTGCTTGGTGAGGCGTCGGGGGTGTTTGGATCCCCGCCAAACATTGCCTCGCCAAACATGCGGCTGCCACAACAGTTTGGCTGATGTTTGGTTAATACGTGAGTTGTGGCAGCCATACTTTTTGCTAGTTCATTTGCATGCTTATTTCCGCCACAGTGTGGCGATTATTTCTCTCGCCACAATCTCTGGCGGCGCCACAATCTTACAGTCAGTTCAATTTAGCATAGATGAAAGGGGTTTGTGTGTCTTGTGCTATGCTTAAATTAACGATGGAGAGAGAAACAGAGAAGCGATGGAGAGAGAGTGAGTGAGAGAGATGGAGAGGCTAAGGAGGAGGGGCCCTTTAACTTTTCCTCTATAAGAGGTGTGGCTTCAGTTAAAGTAGGCAGGAATTCTGCTCTCTCTCTCTCTCTTGTATTAAACTTGTGAAAGCAGCAGGCTGCCTGCCTCGATTTTTTTTTTATATGTACACCTCTCCCACACTCCTTGCTCTCTCGTTTGCTCTTCTACTGCTCATCCTCCTCCTCTACTACTCGTCCTCTTTGGTTTGCTTCCGGCCTCTTCTTCCTGCATAGCTTCTGTTATTCGATTTCGATGATCTTGTCTTCTCCTTGAATTGTGTGTGTATTAATTAACTGTATGTTTGTTTGATCCCTTGCAGCTCTATTCACAGCTAGCAACAAGAAGGAGGCTTACACATGCATGTGCACGGTCTCTGCCGGACGCATATGAATCAGGCATGAATAGGGGGCACATCAGCAGCTCGGAGCTCATCGACGCCAAGCTCGAGGAACGCCGGATCTCCACGGCCAAGCACTGCCCCAGCTGCGGCAACAAGCTCGACTGCAAACCGGTATGTGAAGAGTGAAGTGATCAACTTCGTTTTGCCTAGCTCTTTTCAGTAATTGCACACTTGCACCTCGGTCGGTAGCGAGGGTTCTTGGGCTTCTTGCTGCCTGGTGCAAAACTTGTTCTTATGGAATTAATTGGTGTAACTGCAAGAAGGATTGGGTGGGGCTACCGGCAGGAGTCAAGTTCGATCCGACGGACCAGGAGTTGATCGAGCACCTCGAGGCCAAAGTGAGGGAAGAAGGCTCAAGATCTCATCCTCTCATCGATGAGTTCATACCCACGATAGAAGGGGAGGACGGCATATGCTACACCCACCCTGAGAAACTTCCAGGTGAGAGTGAGAGAGCTAAGGTAGCTATAGCTCAAAACATTGCACCCCCCGCATTGTTTTGATACAGATATATTCCTGGCTTTTTGCAAAACTTTATCGGGTTTTTTTTGCTTTCCATGGAGTGATATATATTGTATGCTGGGATTGTTTCGCCATGAATTATGGGTCGTGGTTTTGGATTTTGGGATATGGCATATATTCCCTTGTTGTTCTTGATGTGCTCTCCCCCCTCTCTATTCTTATTACTAGTGTTTCTCTACATGTGCTCTTGGCCGGTATATGCAAAGAGAATTATTGTTTATGGAAAGTTGTGCCTAGTCTCATCTCCCACTCTCTCCTCTCTGTCATGATGGTAAGATGCTTCTGAAGTTTCCAAATAGGTTTCTTTCCTCTCTTCCTCTTTTTCAGAGAGGTTTGTTGCATCTGTCAAGAAGCATAGGCCACCCACTCCACACTATACTCTTGGATCTCACAAAACTCTCTATACTACCTTGATCCTGCTAATTATTCTGTTTGTGCTGATCGATCGATGGAGCAGGTGTGACAAGGGACGGCCTGAGCAAGCACTTCTTCCACCGGCCGTCGAAGGCGTACACGACGGGGACGAGGAAGCGGCGGAAGATCCAGACGGAGTGCGACGTGCAGAAGGGGGAGACGAGGTGGCACAAGACCGGCAAGACCCGGCCGGTGATGGTGAGCGGCCGGCAGAAGGGGTGCAAGAAGATACTGGTCCTCTACACCAACTTCGGCAAGCACCGCAAGCCGGAGAAGACCAACTGGGTGATGCACCAGTACCACCTCGGCGACCTCGAGGAGGAGAAGGAAGGGGAGCTCGTCGTCTGCAAGATCTTCTACCAGACGCAGCCTCGGCAGTGCAGCTGGTCCTCCGACCGCGGCGGCGGCGCCGCCGCCACCGCATCCGCCGTGACGACGGCGGCGGTGCAGCAGGATCAGCAGCGCAGGAGGGACAGCGGCAGCGGCAGCTGCTCGTCGACGAGGGACCACGAGGTGTCGGCGACGTCCTACTCGACGGCCGGGTACGCCGTCGCCGCCGCCGTCGAGATGCAGCATTTGAAGCATGCCGCCGACCATTTCAGCTTCGCGCCTTTCAGGAAGAGTTTCGAGGAGGTAATTAATTTAATTACCACTTGTTACATGCATACTGCCACTTTTCTGTATACATACTGTATGAATCTTTGATCAGTTTTCGGAGTAATGCTGGTTAGGTTACGCATCCTAATCAGTTTCTCTCCAAGTAAACTGCTGGTTAGGTTCTGTGCCGTTTTCTGCATGCATCTTAATCAGTGCACGTCATGCAGATCATGCAAATTAACCATGGTCCATATTCCCATGCACGCATGCATGGATATATATACACTCGCTCGCATGGATATATACTGACTTTCTGTTTTTCTAGGTGCAGATTGGGATACATATACTTTCTGTTTGATTAGATGAGCTTCCTTCAATTTGTTGCGTATGGATGAGCGGTTTGGGGCGGGGTAGCTGACCAAATGTGTAGGATGCGCCAATTTAAAGCAAAAGATGAGCTACACATCACACAGCAGCATGGACCCTTTTAGTTCGAGCCTCACATCATTTTACTCAGATTGCAAGCAACCCTAAAACCATCCACGATCCACCCACCGTGAAAGCAAAAACTAGTAATATATATAATTGGCCCGGTCTCATTCTTTCAATTATTCCAACCAAAAAATGTATATTTCAAGAAAGTTCAAATAATATACATACTACTGTAACATACATACTAACTGAAAGGGAGTGATAAAAGACAAATATAATGGGAACATTATGCATGTATGTTAGTTTTATAAAAAACATTATGCATGCATGACATGGAATTTTTCCATTTGTTTGCATCAAACAGGTTGGTATAAGTGGTGATCAGGTACACTCCAATCAGCTTGGGAGGTCGGAGCAGCAGCATGCTGGCCAGGAACAACAGCCGCACCGGCCGTTGCTTGCAACCACGACGGCGGTGCCTGCCACGGCCTTCCTGATCAGCCGGCCGACGAACCCTGTATCAAATATAGTGCCACCAGCAATGCAGCATGCATCTGTCGTTCTTGATCATGATCAGTTCCACGTGCCAGCAATCCTTCTCCACCACGACAAATTTCAGGTGTGATTTCATCTCATCTTATACATTTTCTCCTCAAATAAAACATTTCCATTATCTAAAATAATTCCCTAAAATTAATACTAATTTCTCTTTTTCTAGCAGCTGGGTAATAGATTGGGCACGGTAGCTGTTGAAAAAAAAACTATAGGAACACATATATGCATGCATTTATGAAGAATATTCTTTACATATTCAGAATGTTAAATTTAAGTAAGGAGTAACAAACCATCTCCAACAAAAAACAATTTCAGCTTGAAAACAAGCAATGGACTCGCTAGGCAGTACATTTCATACTTCCCATCTAGACAAACTTAATTAGTACGGCTTGGTCTAAAGTCCACATTTTCCTCCTTCAAGCTAAGAGTTTCTTGCTATCATAGGATCCCTTTGAATTCTCTAAAAATAAACTAAAAACCATTCTCAGCTTTCAATTTCAATAAAAAGAATCAAGGATTTGTGATAATCTTAAGTGTCAAAATTAGTCATTTTTAGTTGGTCATACTAAACATATTGGGCAATAATTTATACAAATAATTGTGATATACAAAATATTAAAAAAAATTCTAGTTATGGCACTTCTAATGTTGATTTGTACATATGTAGGGTTTTTCAAGTCGTGTAATTACTATTTGATATGAACTATGTTTTTTTATATATATACCAAGGAAGTTGCATATGGATGAAATTAAGCTGTCTGAAGATGCATTTTCTAGACTATAAATATAGAGCCTAGACAATTCTGGAAGGATTCTTTGTTTACCCATATATATATGTGTAATCTGGTAATGAATCTGCTTTGTATTTCCACCGTTCCTATATATATGTATCACTTTAGGTAAATCTATATACAATTGAACTGTTTATTTCATATATATCAAGATACTAATGCATTGTCTCAGCTCATTCTTCATCTCTTTGGTGATTTACTTAATTATATTATTGTAGCTCCTTTACTTTTTTTTTTCGTTTTGCTCTTTACTAAAGAATGCTTTAGCTACTGTTCTATCCCAACATAATTAACAACGAACATGCAACACAGCAGCAGCAGCAACAAAAGCTTGACAGGAGGTCTGCCGGCTTGGAGGAACTGATAATGGGCTGCACGTCTTCGAGCACAAAAGGAGTAAGTTTCTCTTGCATTTTTATTTGATTGCCTCCTCAGCATGGATCCAAGCCGATAATTTACCAGTCAGAGGCTCTACGCATGCAGTAAAGCATTCCTGCACATATCCAATTGGAATTAATATATATGCATGTACGTAGCAATTGCATGTGAGACGCATGCATGTGTCCCTTTTAAACGGTTTTAATCTGAACATTAGCTCAGGCCAAATTTAATATAATTGTAGTTATTTATATATACTGATTTAAACATATAATACATGGGTGGGAAAGCTGCAAGCTATGTCTTATAGGCGAGGTGAGGGGTTTAGAAAAGAAAGACTGCTCAGGAGGGTCCTGAGGAAACTTCAGTGTGGGGCCTCATAGTTTCTTTGTCGTCCTAGCCAGCACTTTGAAACAGGCCCTTCACCTTGACAGCTTTTTCCTCTCATTTGTTTCCCTATTTTTAAATTCGCCATTTTAGGTGTGCTTTTACAGCAAGCATGCCGACGAGAGAGAGAGAGAGAGAAATCTTCAGTACTCCTAGTGAGATAGTAGATAGAAGAAACATCATGAATATATGCAAACAAGGACCACCCTTTGCTTTGCTTTTGAGTGCCAAAGGGGGAGAGCCAAAGACCAGCGTAAAAACAAGACCATACTTTCCTTGCTTTCATGACCGTATAGGTGAAAACGAGAGCTTTCTCTCCATGTCAGTAGCCCCTCTCCTCGCTTTTCTGACTGTATGGCTATAAGAATAGTTGTTTACTGTTATCTCTTGCGAAAAGAGCAAAAGAAAAGGAGGAAATATTATTCGTTTCTTGCTCTCTTTTGTCTCTTTTCTATGAAATGAATTCACACTGACACCATGCATGAGGATAAGAGAATCATTATTGTGAAATTTGTTTGCATTAATCGTTGTGAACTTGTTCTTGTATTACATTACTAAAAATTAAAATCTTGACATTTACAAGGTAGTATATACATGCACGTTCAGGTAATATAGAACAAAAGTGTACTTATTTTTGTCAAAACTCCATTGGATGATTAGACATGAGTAGTACATCCGTCTCAAAATATAATAACTTTTAGCTACGAATTTAAACAAGAGTATGTCTAGATTCGTAGTCAATAATTGCTATATTTTCGAACAGATCAAGGTAGTAATGATATGTGTATTGCATAGTTATTCAATGAGATCGTTCTTTGACACGTTGGCCTCATTAATAATATGGTGCAATGCGTTATATTGGAGATCAATCATTCTGACCCCGACTATATACTCCGTATAAGTAAGTGACAAAAAGAGTTATGCCTTACTACTTTTCCCCTCCTTTGTTTTCGCGTTGAATTATATGGGAGATTAATTAATAAAGTACTGTGACAACACAACTATAGTACTACTAGTCTACTACCGTGGTATCTGCTATATCTCTCACAAGAGATCCGAATTGGCTACCTTGATATTATTTAAATGAACATTTCTGGTATCATCTGGAGTGTAAATAAGAGCAAGTACTATAAAACTTGCTCTAAGGTAGTCCGTACTTGAACAGTTGAAAATTTTGAATTATTTCCCTACTGACATTTTAAAGTGATACCGTATCTTTCTTATTCAACTGTTGCACTTCACTGAGCTGTTCTTTTTTGACCCCCCCTTTTCCATATTCTATTGCAGGAAGCTTCAATTCCTCACTCCCAAGAGACAGAATGGCCTTACCAGCCATACTGGACTCCTGACAACCAGGATCATCATGGATAGTAGCAACAAGGCTGGTAAATAGTGAAGATCAATACCAAAAGAAAACTAACCACATTCTCTTTCACCTTGTGTGGTCTCTGTCTTCTTGAATATACAACATTGCTTTCTTGAAGAATGTATGTACTACGGTTGGGAGAAGAAATAGATTAAAGAGATCTGTATAGATCTGCCTCCATGAAAAAAGGGAGATCAAATTAACTGTGCAAGGACACTCCAAGATAGAAGAGACAAAGTTGTTGAAAGAAAAGAAAAGAGAGGACAAAAAAAGTTTGGGCAAAGGTATTGTTGTGCTTAATTACATCAGAATGAAGGCTAGACATGCTAGATGCAGTCAATATTAATGCACCCCAATCGAAGCATAATTATAATTACATTTTGGTTTATCACAGCTTTTGATATGCATTAGATATTTTTCAACTGTAAAAAGTAGTATTGTTTGCATGTACTGTGATGTACATTACACCCCCTGGCCGGTCCCTTCTCTCTCTAGATGGGTGTGTGCGTGTGTGTTTTTCACCTTGCTTACCTTGTGCTTCAAATGCATCCAGGGGGACTAAATTCCCAACTTAATAAGTTCTTTTTCCTTTCTAGAGGCGCAAAAATTGTTTAGCGTTTGGGTACTGATGCTACTTACTTTGTAACGAGAGTTGAATTCATCTGCCATGCATGTTGGTTTCAAGGAATAAACTGGCGTTGACATGCATGATTTTTGTGGTCTATATATATCACATATATATCAGATTACTCGATGATCTAACTAGTTAGTTTACTGCTGTACCTGTACATATGGATTTAAGAATCAGAGTGGTGTTGGCTATATATTAAGAGTTATGCTTGCATACTGATACTGATGTACATATACGTAAGCACAGAAAATTCCTTTGTTCATGTAAAAAAATATCAGCTCTCAATATAGACATGTGTTGTATTTATACAATTAATGTGCAGTAGTGCACCTGTACCTATTGGCATTTCAAGTTTCATTTACATATTACGGTGTATATATATAGCTACTAAATTAAATACAAATTAATTAACAGCTATTTAATTATTGCATATCAATTTAATGTTATGCATATAGTGTGCTATTTTTTGACAAGTTTGATTACAGTTTTAGGCTAGACTATTTTCAGGAGGTACATACGTTTTTTTTTTACCAGGGGAACAATTAATGAGCATTATTAGTATTGTTGGATATATACTATTACATTTTAGAAATACAAATATTAGTATATTCTAATTTATCACTATTGCATATATAGGGAGATCTCTGTGCATCGTCATACTATTCCACAGAATATATTTTTTTTGTGTGTTGGGGGGCACTAACAAATATCACAGTATAATTAACACACCCTGCTATTTATACTTTAATACCGTGCATGCATGTTATTGTCAATTTATTTACATTAAGTTGCATGCCCTACATAGAACATAAGGCTTTGTTTAATTTAACAAAAATGACTCCTTTCAAAAAAAATTTAACAAAAATGATGATTTTTGGAGTACTTGAGGATTAAACTGAACGAATCCGACCCCAGCATGTACGTTGCACACACATATATATGGAATGAAACCAAAATTGCATTGTTTTTTACTGCTCCTTCCGTTTCATAATGTAAGTTATTCTAGCATTTCCTATATTTATATTGATGTTAATGAATCTAGACATCAATATGTATGTGAGAAATGCTAAAATAACTTACATTGTGAAATGGAGGAAGTAGCTAGCATCACTAGATGTACTGTTTTTTTTTTCGGGTAATGCACATATCACTGGTGGTGTACTCCTACCTATTGTTCCAAATTAAAGAGCTAGCGCTTGTAGTTTTCAGGCAAAAGTGCAACATATGAATATATGTCGATGGAAGAAGAAAGGTGCAGGCATATGTGCTAGCTGCTTGTTTAAGGTTGTCGCTCGCATATTCTACTGTGTACATTTGTGTGTGATTTTGTGCACGTATTAATTCTCATTCGATCGTACACGCGACGTATATATATGCCAATTAATTAATGCACGCATGTTAGAGATCGACAAAAACATGTGGTTAATGTACGCATTTGCATATATAGTAGTACTATATGTTTGCATATGTACAGTACACCATTTAGAACAAAATTAATCTGCGAGGACGTATGTGGGTAGCTCTAATTAAGTCGGAACACCTAACATAAGTGCTAGTATTAGCGCGCATGCATGCAACGCCACCTTTTGTACGTAGCATGGTTTCATCAATTAGTTTCGTTTCCACATTATGTGGGAACTATGAAACTTTTGGGTAATTAGCTATTACCCATTTAATTAATTAATTAGGCTGAAGCATGCATGATATATATAATTTTCTTTTCATAATCCTCCAAAATGAACAGCAAGTTATTTTCCTACATACCTTTTTTTATGAATTAGTTTTGATAATTACAAACGGGCCTCAAGACCAATACAGCAAAGTGCTCTTTTTTAACTACTTAATTATTGTATTTTGCGTTTCTATTAACCATAAACCTCGCATCATGATAGATCATCCTATATATCGTACGTGCTGGCTAATACTGCATTCAAGTTTACTACGCATACTCCATATATATGCATATTTAATTTTCTTTCTCAATTCGATCACATGAGAGATGCACCCACCACGTCACTGCTTGATGGGGAGGAAGCAGCAACGTGCATGCCAGTAATTGCCTGTGGACCATGCATGGGCGGCTCTCGTATACTCCCGCGTTTTAAAATGTTTGACACCGTTGACTTTTAATACGTGTTTGACCATTCATCTTATTCAAAAAAAAATTAAGTAATTATCTATTCTTTTCATATTATTTGATTCATTGTTAAATATGCTTTTATGTATATATATAGTTTTACATATTTCATAAATTTTTTTTGAATAAGACGAATGGTCAAACATGTGTTAAAAAGTCAACGGTGTCAAATATTTTGAAACGGAGGGAGTATATATCTTGGCTGCCGGAATAGATATCTTAATTACTCGCAGCAATTTTAATTAACTAATTGAGTTAAATCAACACTGTAACTGAATCTCTACTTAATTAGACGTACGATCTAAATTTACTATCTCCATCCCAAATTAAAATACATGGCACAACTACCATTGACACAAATATCAAGAATTATTATCACCTCTGGATCACTCTAATAAAATATAATACATACACCCAAAAATATTAGATTAGAGATTTTTAAGGTGTATGATTTAAAAATGAATTAAAAGGAAGAGGAATGTGCTAGTTAACTACATATATGCATGCGTGTTTTGTATTAATATTAAAAACAAATGGTTACGTGTCTTACTCTTGTACCCTCTCCGTCAAAAAATCCAATCATACGTGTACCCAGGTTCGTAGCTAGAGTTTGCTCTTTTTTTTTTTTGACAGAGTAGTATAAATTAAGATCGAGTACCTAGGAAGCTTCTATCTTCTGATCATTAATGCAGGGGGCATATTGATCGATATAGGAGGGTTTCACGTACGCTAGGTATAAAATGTGCGTGTGCAGTAGTACATGCCACATGTGATAGTCCCAAAATATAAGGGATTTTGGGTGAATGTCAAATCCCTTATATTTTTGGATGAAGAGAGTGTATACTTAGCTATAGCTAGTAGAATATGTGTATATACACCAAGCTAGATTACCGTTTTATCTAGCTAATTGGGATGAGATTCGTGTGCGCTAATATATCCTAATATAACATTGATGTTTGATGAAACACAGTACAATACCTTTTTTTTGACATGAAATATATTCAAATGACTTATGATATGAAACGGAGGGAGTACTACCTATACATTATATATTAGACATTTATATGTTAGCACCTCAGAATCGGAGATAACCCTATACTACAATTAGATAATGGAGGTATTCCGATCCCTAAAAAAAATTAAATGATTGGAGGATCGATAGAGATTATTCCGGACCTCAGATTGTACGTCAACTCGATCCTAGGACCTACCATGCATCGATATCAGGGTACGCGCTTGGAATATGATCTCTTCTTTTTTACTAGCTACTATGCATACCTTTCTTTCTGTACCATCATCGAATTTTATCTGGAAGATGCTTCTTAAATATCACTCGGTCTGATCATATATATACACACGAACTGATCATGGAGTTCGTCTTTCTAGGGCATAATGCTACTTCTATAATTGCTGCTGAGAATCTCAGTGCTAAGGAGAGAACATATGCATCGCCTTTCCTCATAAAAAACTTGATGATGAACGAGTTAGGTAAAGGAAAGGTTCCTCCTTGTTTGTTTTGCAGTTAATGTCCCCTATTATTTGTTCTCGCATTTGTCTTTTAGCGAATCATAATAAACTATCTCTATCTTTATAATTCTACCTTTCAGAGCAGCTAACCAAAGAAGTAACTTGCCCATTTGTGCGTCTGTGTTTGTAACCTAGCTAAATTATGAACATTATTCGTTTCATCTCTAAATTAAGACTGAAATATATAGTTCTTGTACAATCTGTTTTGGGCAATTTAACACTAGTTAATATTTACTGCTAGATCTCTCAGCCGATATGATAGTATGATATGATCCAAGCTACTGATCATGTGTTTTGTTGCCTATGATATGCTCAGAGCCTCAGAGATTAATAAAAAATAATGGTTAGGTTCAGACAGTTTCAGGTTCATGGAACATCATAGAACAAACCAGATGCTCACATGTCCCTTTCCACAGGAGATAGAAAGGATAAAAGAAAGAGTGAAAAAGAGAGAGTTCGGCCATGTCTCATGTCTGTCTTCTTCACTCTCATCTATTTCTTTTATGGCCATGCAACAAAACAAAACAACTATTTTGTTAACAAAGAAATTGAAAAGAGATCGATCTGGGGATATATTCTCTCTCACGCGCACAAGCATATATACAATAAGAATTAATACACCTTAATTATATTACTTGGAGACGATACTATAGAAAAGAAAAAGAAACTAAAAGTGCACATGTGTGTAGGTGAGTTAACCTCTTGTTAAGCTCTCCCATGTGTCGTTGATTCGGTCCCAAAAAGAAGTTGCAAGGCGAATTGTACTGTTAGATAGTGGGATTGAGAATAACACAACATGGCCTAGCTAAGCTAGCCTATCTTTCCTTTCCGGATTATTCTCTCCCAAATGTGATATTGATCTAGCTTTAGTTTCTTCTTTTCTTTTAAGCAATTGTTCCCTAATCATATTTAATTATCTCAAAGGAGTATGCCTATCTATTCCTGCCTCCAATGCGACGCTGTTTCCTTACCCACATTTGTGGTTTTAGTGCTGTGTAAGTAATTAAACCTAGCTAGTAATGGAAGTAAGTAAAACAACTTTATTTTCTTGAAAGGTACCCATGTGTGCGATATTTGTGGGGAATTCGGATTTTAGAACCATGATGAATAATCATATGCACCCAACTTCTCAACTGTACCTCGATCTGTCGGTCTATTTAGGAGAGTTTTAGATTCAGATAAGCAGCTTGAGAGAATAGAAAAACCATGTGAAAAAAAAACACACAACTGAAAAAAAAAACATTTTTGCAGGCGTCTGCTTCTTATTATTTTCCTGAATTTTAAAACTATATAACTTCTCCAAACCTAAATAAAAAAACTAAACTATTTGAGTAGCTTTTGATTGTCGGAAGCCTCTCCTAAAATAGCCATGTGTTTCCCGCCTTCCCAAGTAAGTAAAACAACTTTGGGCTATAGTAGTGGATGGGAACAGAAGAGTGGACTAATTTTGTAATAATATTTTGTGGGAAATAAAATATATGCTGGTGCGGGTATATCTTAGATTCTGTTGGCTTTGCAATTGTCGCCTGTTGTTTGCAGATGCGCGCTCCGCTTAGAAAATAGCAGCAGAATTCCTCCCAAGAATATGACAAATCCGATCATCCGATGCGTCATGGAACTCGTGGCGTCATCACATCAGCAAATCCAAGTACGGTGAACTACTACGCTTCAATCAATTTCCCTTTTCTTCCAATGGGCCTCACAACGCACCGCGGCCCAATAGCTCTTAGCCCATTGCCATCCGCCATCTCGGCCCGGAACCGCATGGGCCGGCCCACGCCACGCCGTCCCCATCACATCACACCGGCCCGCTTCTCTCTCGCGCGCGCGGGTGAAGCGTCGCGCGGCGCGCCGTGGCGTGGCGTGGCGACAGGTGAAGCGGCCGGCGAGGCGAGGCGAGGCGAGGCGAGGCGGCGTCATCTGCGCCGCGTCCACACACATGTACGTCGCGCTACGCGCCCGCGGCGCCTTATCTTGACACCAGAATCCACATGATTCCTGAGCCCCAGCTATAGGCTATAGCTAGCTGCTGTTGCTGCTTGGTCCCGGATAACGTGACAAATGCGACATGGTTCATGCTTGCTCGATTGATTGATTGCAATAGACAAAAACTCTTCTTGTCTCTTCACCTCGCCACCGGGGCCGCCATACAATTACCTCCATAAATCTTGGATAGAATGTTAGGAGTAACTAACTCTGCACTGTGCCATTGCTGTGTGTCAGTGTGTGTATATATATCCAGCTGCCAGCTGCAGAGTGAAGCATAAACATCAGTAGACGACGGCGATGGCGCCCAAGCGACTTGTCTGCTTCTTGGCCGTGGCCGCCGCGCTAGCCACCACCTGCCACGGGTGGGGCGCCGGCGCCGGCGATGTCGTGTCGTCGTCGGCGGCGGCGCTCTCGTTCGTGGACAGGCTGAGGCAGATGATGATCCCGGCGGCCGTGGGCGACGGCGACTACTGCGACAGCTGGCGCGTCGGCGTGGAGGCGAACAACGTGCGGGGGTGGACGGCGGCGCCGCGCAAGTGCGACAACTACGTCGAGAACTACATGCGCGGCCACCACTACCGCCGCGACAGCAAGGTCGTCGTCGACGAGGCCGCCGCCTACGCCGAGGCCGCCGTCCTCTCCGGCGACCCCGCCGCCGACGCCAACGCCACCTGGGTGTTCGACGTCGACGAGACCGCCCTCTCCCACGTCAAGTTCTACAAGAAGCACGGCTTCGGGTACCACAGAACCGACGAGCCGGCGTTCATGGAGTGGCTGATCGCCGGCAGAGCGTCGGCGTTGCCGAACACGGTGACGCTGTACAAGAAGCTGCTCCTCCTCGGCGTCAAGATCGTCTTCCTGTCGGACAGGCCGGACACGCCGGAGCTGAGGAACGCCACCGCCACCAATCTCATCAAGGAAGGCTTCGACTGCTGGGACGAGCTCATATTAAGGTCACGTTACAAACTAATTAATCTCTGAATTCCTGCGTGTACTCCCTCCGTCCTAAAATATAAATATTTTTAGCATAGTGACAAATCAAATATTTTAAACTTTAACCATTAATAGTAAAAAAAGATCAATCATGTAAAATTGATGTTACTAGATTTATCATTAAACAAACTATCATGATATGTAACTCTTTTTATTTAAAACATCTTACTTATATAGATATTGTTGGTTAAAGTAGCATCTCGCAGACCGTGTATAAGAGTCTAAAAATGCTTACATTTTGAGACGGTGCGAGTATAAAATTGATGAAATGAACGAACAGGTCGGAGAACTCGACGGCGACGGGATCGGTGGTGGAGTACAAGTCGGGGGAGAGGAAGAAGCTGGAGGAGGAGAAGGGGATGGTGATCATCGGCAACATCGGCGACCAGTGGAGCGACCTGCTGGGCTCGCCGGAGGGCCGCCGGACCTTCAAGCTGCCCAACCCTGCCTACTACATCGACAACTACAAGCGCGCCGGCGCCGCCGTCCGCGCCGCCGTAGCCATTACAGCCTCCTCCTCGTCGTCGTCGTCGTGAAGCAAACGATGCCTAGCTAGCTATAGTACTCAACTTTGAATTGCATTTTTTTTTCAGACACATAAGTTCAGTTAATAATCGGTCGTGTACGTACCTGCCGTGCTGTGCACTGTTGTATCTTTTTGGTGAGACGATTGAAATATCTTTGGGTTTATCTTTTATAATTGGTTTTACCGTGAATTAATTAGGCTTGCTGCTAATGACAAATTTCTGAGGAGATATTTCTCTCTGCTGGTCTATATCCTGCCTCCGGTGTCGCACGCGTGTGCATCGGCTGTTGGCGTAGGCGATTGCAGATGCACAACCTTATCCTGATGAATACGCTACGTGGGGGCATCCGATCTTGGATGGGCTCTTGTTTGGCCGGCATATCAACATCTACTACCTCCGTTTCTTAATAATAAAAGCCGATAACTTTTTATCAATATTTAATGATTTATCTTATTCAATAATATTTATGTAAATATAAAAATATTTATATCACGTTTAAAGAACATTTAATGATAAATCAAATCTAATCTACTTACGGTTGGTTGATTTGTTGCCATACGTCGAACCATTTTGTTTCTATAGCAGGTTTTTACATCTCAAATTAATTAATTTTATTAGTCTAAAATAGTTGACTTTTATTGTGTTAACTATTTTTCACTATTACTATTTGTGATGCTATGGCTTGAATATTGAACTTTTGCAATATACTCTCTGTTTGAAAAGCTCGTTTACCTTTTTCTTTTTCTTACCATGTGCGAAACAATAAATGATATTAGTGTATAATTAATTAGTTATTAAGTACGACAAACTTGAAAAACATGTTTATTTGATTTTTTTAAAATAAACTTTTATATACAATTATTTTTAAAATATATCGTTTAACAGTTTGAAAAGTGTGCTTACGGTAAACAAGGGAGTTGCAAAAGCAAAAAAGAAAAACGAACACACCCTAAGATTGTGTTCTCACTTCTCTCGTTTTTCGCGTGTATGGTTTTCAAACTGCTAAACGGTGTGTTTTTTTTTAAAAAAAATTTTATATGAAAGTTGTTTTAAAAAAAATCATATTAATCATTTTCTTTTAAAAAATAGTTAATACTTAATTAATCATGCAATAATATGTATTTCGTTTTGCTTGCCGGGGGGGAGGGGTTTCCGAACACAGCCTAAGTTATGGTTGGAAGCTTCAGCCTTCAAGCTTTATAATAATAGCTTTCTACGTATGTAAGTTCCCTACAATACTTCTTTTAAATTTATAACAGCTAATCCATTTGGTTGTACCTCAAATATTATCACATCCCAAATCATCAGATAATCCGTTGCAGTTCAGCCATTCATCCATTAAAGCTTGGAAATAAGTGTGATGCAATGTCTCCAACAGGTGCAAGTGCACAAAATAAAAGGAGGAGAAATAGGGTGGCTCATGATCTTGCTCGAATGGCAATGAGTGCTAGGTCTAGTGCTGACTGGAGACTGTATGCTCCCCGCCCAAATCCTAGACTCGTTAAACCAAGAATGTAGGAGTAATCATTTATTCAGCCAATGTAAAAAAAAAAGGTATTGGGCCTACTATAACCCCCCACCCCACCAAAAAAAAATCTATTAAAAGACAGCATGATGATGCAAGGATCAACACCCGGGCAACAGGCTGATTTTCCATTACGGGCCTTCAAGGCCCATAATACTACTGATTTACGTGCGATCAATCAAACATACGGTGAGCAGAGACGACGCTTGCCAAGATTTGGGCAAGGCAAGTCAGGGGCAAGAATCGAATCGAATCGAATCAAATCTCTGGGAGCACAGGACGAGCGGAGCAGAGCAATTTTCTCTCTCGCTCTCTGCTTCACTCTCATGAGATGAGAGATATTCAGATGCGTAACTCTAACCCTGCCATTACCAGTAGAGACGTTTGCGATTGCTTTGCTTGTTCCAGTCCTGGAAGAGAAGAGAATTTTGATCTAGCAGCAAAACCAGGCTCTATTTTTTTTCCCTGTCATGTGTTTTCCGTTGCTAATTTTTAGTCAGCATTCGATGTTATCAGTCAGTCATTCTGTGCCAAAAGGAGGACTGACATCGTTGTTGGTGAATGGTGAATCAGTGGTAAACTAAACACAACTGATTAGAAGTTTAGAACAATGTGATGAAGGGAAATTATATTGCTGAACACAAAAGGCTTCCTGTGTGTCCAGCGATTGCGTTTTATACTTGGTATATTTGGCAAGTTGTTATTATCGCAAAAATTTCTAGAAAAATGAGAGAAATTTTGGTTCCTGATTCTTGCAACCTTGCAAGGACTGTTTCATGTGAATGGCCCTCCAAACACACCTCTGTATAGACTTCATCTTCTGAAATTCGAATGACCATGTAGCCCAGTATCTTATGAGCATTTTATTCGAATTTTCCAGTTACATGGGAATAAACTTCTTTAGCTTCTATCTCACAGAAAGGTAGACTATGTTGGCTTCCTTCTTATATCTACCCATAGGGCGCACAAATATGTGAAAGCTATGAGAGCAACTTTACCGAGTTCGCCGATTCAAATTTCAACTTTTGACCTACAAAATATACTTCCCTTCCAGCAAATCAGCTGAAAGCAATTACATCATTTTTCGAAGCTAAGGGTCTAGAATAGTGCTGCAAGATTCCCCTTTCTTTCAGAAATCACTAGGAACGCCACAATATGGACCATAAATATCACTAGCACATTGATAAAGTTTCCTAGAATTGAATCACACTAAGGTTTTTCCGACCGTTTTCATCCCTGCTACTATCTCCGTTCTCTCATCAAACCGTTTTATCTCGGAAAGCAGATTGACCAGACCTTTAATTGTTCAGACACTATCTCAACCGCAGAAGTATTTTATGTTTAACAAACTTACAAATTTTACCCGAAAATTGATTTGCTACAAGCTATTGCTGGTCTCTGTAGAGACATGCTAATTTCATGTATCGCATTTTTGTTACATTTTCTCAGGGAACTGGAGGGGTTACTGTCAAGAAGACCTTATCTATCCATCATCATTGGAATCTATGAGGAACCGATGACTCCTGGCCAGTGCAACATGGTTGTGGAGAGGCTTGGCGATTACCTTGTTGAACAGGGTTTCTGAACTCAGAATCTGCAGTAAGAGGGCAACTGGGTATATGTATACAAGAATCTGTCATTAATCCCATAAATAATCAGCACAAAATTTGGGTATCTGTTTAAAAGTCAGTTCGTCATTATGTTGGAATTGTTGAGTACATGACATGTGTCATAAATCATGCATGTAATTGTTTAACCATGGTGGCTGTGATGTTTTTGAAGATTATCCAGTTTCTCTTCAATGTGATTATCCAATTTCTGCTTAAAAGCAAGGAAATTCTCTCCATTGCTACTTTGCGCTGCACCGTATTGTTTGTTATCTGCTACTGCCTCCGTTTTTTAATAGATGACGTCGTTGACTTTTTCTCACATGTTTGACCATTTGTCTTATTCAAAATATTTACGTAATAATAATTTATTTTGTTACGAGTTGTTTTATCACTCATAGTACTTTAAGTGTGACGGAGCTCGTGGCTCCTCACCGGGAGACCGCGCAGGCCCCCCTTTGCCGGTTCGGCCGGGGGCTTAGGGTGAGATCTCAAGCTCTCGCTGTGTGTGGAAAGATTACTCGCCCGCAAGACACACGAGACACAGCGATGTATACAGGTTCGGGCCGCTCCGAAGCGTAATACCCTACTCCTGTGTTTTTGTGGATTTGTGTATGAATGAGCTACAAAGTGTGTCCACTTCTCCTCCGCTCTAGGCTCTAAATCTGGCAAGAATCCACCCACCTCTCTATGGGCAAGGTCCTCCTTTTATACTTCAAGGGGATACCACATGCACCCTTCCCTTTCCAAACTGGACTTTTTCTTCTTTACGTAAATGGACGGAGATTTGCACGGTTGCCCTCCAAACGTCCTTCTGATGGGACGGCACATACCTACCTCCACTTCTGCCGGGGGCAGGCGCGTCGCGGGAACGTGGCTGTGAGCTGACGACCTGAGCAGTGTCAGACCGGTCACAAATCGGTCATTCTTGTCCACCGCGTGTCAGCTTAGCAACGTGCATGTTTGCCCTTCTTCACACAACATCTTGCCTGTAATGGTTAGGATGAAGCCTGGTATAAATCTGACCAGGGCTAACGTGCCATCTCTAAGAGATAACACGCTAGCTCCGGCTTGAGACGAGTTGCCTAGAGGCTTTCGTCTTGACGGGATGGGGCAAGGCGTGCGTCAGACCGCCAGTCGCCACCTAACCCTTGATCTGACCGGTCTGTGACTGGTCACAGACCGGATAAAAGAGCGTGCTGTACTGCGTTACATGCAGCGTGACACGCTTGACCAGACTGTAATAAATGCTGTTAGGTGAGCACAGCTGTGCTCACTTATCCCATATATGTGGCGCAGACTTCTTTAAGGGGTCGGGGTGCCTCGGCCCTCGGGGCCGGGGCAAGCGTAACCCGACCCCCCCCCTCGGGGGAAATCAGGAGGAGGGCGGACACCTCACCCTCGGGCCCGACGTCCCCGAAGGTGCCAGGCCACGTGGGCGATTGCGTCTGCCTCAAGCCTCTGGTCATGATACTCCCGGTCCCATATCACCGACAGTAGCCCCCGGCGTTATGCCAGAGCAATTTCCCTTCCGAAGGGAAGCGGTCAGGTGTGACGCCACCCCTAAAGCCTGGTGACAGGTGGGACCGGTCTCCGTAGTTGGGCAAAACACCCAACGGTCTCAATCCATGCACATTGGTATTGGTGACTTTGGTTGTCCATAATGGGCGGTCTACTCAAGACTGCCACATCACTTGAGCAGCGCGCGAATCTGGGTGAGCAGATTTGTCTCGCTCGGAGATACGGTAACGCCGCTTCGGTCGGCGAGCGTACTTAATGCGCGCACGATACAATCCGTTTCGATTGCCACAACCGCATATCCACTTCATGCGCCGTAAGCGGGCGAATGGGATTAGTGGAAGCGTGGGCACGGGAAACGAGGGAGCGAGATAGCGAGATACGAGGGAGCGAGGTAGTGGGCGCGAGAAACGAGGAGCCAGGACCAGCGATGGCAAGGGTATAAAAGCATCGAGGAAAGGATTTGCTCCCTTCCTTTCGCCATTGTTCCTCTTGCCTTCGCCGCCTGAGCTCTAACTCTTTCTCTGCTACGCCCTACTTTCGCCACACGCGCTCGT